TTCTTTCCTATATCTTTGTCTTTTCTCATTAAGCCCTCAAATAAAGCTGCAGTTTGTAAGATTTTAAGCAGTGAAATACCTCTAAAATGTAATCATAAATCAAGGGGGAGTTGATTAAAAAAGCCCCTTCGCCAAAAGCCTGTCATCGTAGGTGCATACTGCTTTGCCCCCCGTTAACGCTCTTTCAATATCTCGTGCTTAGGTGAGCCACCAAATGCAGCTTTTCAGCTTGTAGCTGTCTCTAAAAGAGGTATCGAGCTGATCACAATCTGTCACACATCTTATGTGTAGCTCAGTTGTTTTGCGCATGTGTTGTTGTGTCAGTGTAAAACTATGTTTGACATAGAATACATATATTCACTTCCATTCATTTAGTTAAAAAAAATGATACAGAAGCAAGAAGCGAGGCAACATATGCCCCGACAAGCTGTCTGTCATAAAGCGGTGATTTCTTGAAACTTACAAATTGCAGCTTTAAAGGCCCATTCTGGAAGTGGAATTTGGCACCCTGTGTCGAACACCATGTCCCAACAGCTGTCTCTGTGTTCTGATTCTGGAGACTTTAGTGAAGTGTGAAATGTATTGACAGCACTGAAAGTACAAGGAAGAGTTATTTGACATTTAAGCATGAATTTGTTTTTTTATCGATTTTAAAACTTTAGTTCTTCTGTTTACAAATTGATGCACCTGTTTTCAGTTATGATGCGACCTAAATGCCATTATTAAAAATCTGTGGACTCACAAACGCTGCTTTCAAACGTTTCCAGATTGGGGCTTCAACTGTTGGGCGGTACAGGAAATAACTGAATCCTACTCAGTCTGTGGGATGCGACCTGGAATCCAGGCTGCCCATTAGAACTCGCTGCATCTCCGCCACACAGGCTCTAATCATGTCCATTACTTTATTTGTTTCTCACTCATTACCTCTCTGTCTGTATCCCCATCTCAGCCCATTTAACTGCTCCGCTCTTTTTTTGCTGCCTCGCACTTTTTCTCTCTCTGCATCTGCCCTTGTAGCTCTTTTTATTAAACCATTGACATAATCCATTTCCATCTCCACTTCTCTCCTCTTTCTCGCAATCACTTCTAGACTCTTTTTTCCTTTTGGAGTCTTTTATACAAAAACACAAATGTAAATGTTGTATTATTAATAAATTGTAAGGATATGAATGAAAAAAAAGATATTCTGATATCTCGTTTTTACCAGCATTCTTGGTGCCAAGTACTGTGATAAAGTTCCTCTTTTACTGGCGTCCAGTGGACCGCCTGGAGAGGTCCATACTGACTATATCTTACAAAAGGAATTACCATCATAAAAAGTGCCAACCCCTTCATCTTTCTTTTGGATCCACACACTTCTTTGTTTTTTTTTAAATTACACTCAATGTTGCACTGTGGCTGGTCTCTTCTTTAAAGGGAAATCAGATTCAATATATCCTTGTTTGAAAAAAAAAAAGAATATAAAGTTTTATTAACTACTTTGCTGTCTAGGATATTTGCATGATATTTTTTTTTTTTCTAAAGAGTGTGGACAGAGAAGTTTGTTTGTCATTTTGATGATTTGCCTTGTTCTTCATTGATTTTTATTTTATTTTGAAAAACATTTTCATTTTCTATTTTAATATCAGCTGCACTTTGTGGTACTTCAAAAAAGTATTAAAGTATTAAGAGATGAATATTGTGTAAAACTATGATTATAACAAAGAGAGTAAATATTTCCTCTTTATTTTTTTCATTTCCTAACACTGAGGCTGTGTCGCAGAACTACCAGAAAGACTGATGAAAGCCGTTTTCTTTCCTCCCTCTTTTGCTCTGTTTCTCTTTATCTTTTGCAACTGTCAAGTTTGCAGTCACTGTCTCTCAATCTCACCTGAAGATAGCACTCTTTTAATTTTACGGAGAAAAAAAGAAAAGAAACGACTCCTTTACATGAATAGTCTAAATAAGGTTTTTGTCTGTGACTGACATTGACCACATGCTTCAAAGACTGCTTGACACTTATCTTTTCGTCTGCTCTTTCGTTGTTTCACGATTCTCCCTTCTGCAAGGCGGGAGAAAGGATGAGATATATATTTATGACGGTCAAAAGGTGAGAAAGCCTTGTACGCGCGTTTTCACATCTTTTCGCACAACTGAACACAAAGGACGGGGTCACACTCTGGACAATTCTGAAGAAAAAAAAACAAACCCAGTGACATTAGGACATCACTGGACACATGGCGACAGTGATTCAATGGCGATGAGGAAATAGCTCGTCGGCTGCGGTATGATCTGTCAATGCACAGAGGATGCATTCAAAAAACCTGATTACAAAAAAAAAAAAATCTTTAATGACAGACGTTACTCATACACCATATATCACAAGAGCAAGGCAAGTGGGATCAGTTCCCCTCCCTCCTTGTTATGTTCTGTATCCTGTCTGCTTAGGATAACAATATTCTGGAGCCAGACTGCCATCCCTCACACTGGACTGGAGCAAGCTGCGAGGACAAAAGAACAAAAAACCAACACGTGAAACAAAACTGTACATTTTATAAGTGTAAGAGAACAAACTGGAATTTGTAAATATTATGTTTGTCGTTTGGTTTGAGTGATTGGCCGGATCTTTTCTTTGTGACAACAGGTGCAAGTTTAGGGGACTTACATGATTTTAGCACTCATGCTGTACGTTTGATTCTCCTTTATTTCCTGGATCTCAAGGGCAAATTCCAATAGGTTATCGGCACGTGAATACATCTGTGAATATGAGTGAATCATTTTCAAAAAAAAAATCACAAAGCGTAGTTGAGGTCAACATAAACACGAAAAAGGAATGCTTTACGGCTCAGGTTAGCCTCGATGTTGTGGTGATAAAAATGCTCTTGCTGCATATGTGGCTGTCTAAAGCGTAACACACTCAACCTGGCACTATCCCATCAATCATGAAGGCAGCTTTTGAGTGAAATGAGTCCTAGATCAGCTGCAGAGAATCAGATGACGGACAGGGAAATAGGGATGTTTAGAGAAATGAAGCAGGAAAAACGAGATAGGGCGGATGTTTAAAATGTGCTCTAAACAGATCACAAATCAAGGAATTTTACTTGTGATACTGTTGGATTTAATTGCTAGTGTCTCACATTGTCTTGAGCATTGTCAATAGAGTATAACATGTAATTGGGAGGTTGTGAAATGCTTTGTACTCTTTTGGTCTTATTTCAGACTCCAATCATGATGGTTGTTTTGCTACAGTTTGCAATTTTGTCTGTACATTCTGTTTATGGGATTATTGACCCAGCTGTTTGATGTGAGTCCTATTTTGCCCACGCTTGCAAAAACAGCATTACGAAGACATTTGTTGTTTATTCTGTTTGTTTTTTTAAACAAGCGGTTGGACAGCCAACAGATAATGGAAGCACACTCACCAAGTTTACATGTTTACACTACAGTTTTGATGTTGGCTCAAGGTAAGGAAAAACATATAAAAATGATAAAAAAGGCATTTCAAGGATTTAAATATCTTCTTATTACAACATTTCATGCTGGAATGGTAAAGAAAAGGCTTGCACCTGTTTGTCTGTTTCATTTAGTCTGATTCAGTAACCTGCTTGAAGCTCAAGATACTGCGAGGGAGCATAATGACCGGAAGGAGTTGAAAGAATTAAAGTTAATATTTCTATTTCAAATAGAGGCTATTACACACTGTATGTTGTGTATCTGAACTGGAAAACATTAAAAGACATTCTTAAACAAATGCTTTGCCATCATTTTTTTTTTTTTTGTCACATTGTCAGAGGTGCAATATTAAAGCTGCAATACATTTTATAGCCAGGTGGGGGCAGAAGAAACCCACTACTACACAATCCAGAGCGCTAGTTGGTGTTGTTATACACTGTAAGGGGTTACGGGCAACTTTAAAGTGGAAACAGACAACTCCTGAGAAAAATAACCCCTGGTCATTAGTTGTGCTTGCTGCTATATTGAATTGTTTCACCTGCTAGCTGCTAGCCTAGTTGCTAACTTGTGTATTTGCTATTACAGTTGACAATGGAGAGCCTTGAATCATACAGTAAATTTGAAGGTGGTTTAAGAGCTCTGTTGGTTGGTTGGTTGCTTGGGTTTGTCACTGTGAGCGACTCACATTTAGTAATTTGATTGATTGACAATGTTCAAAATATTGATTGTTATCTGAAATAAGAGATTTTTTGGTTTTCATTTTTAAAAATAACAAACCCCATTGCGGCTGCTCAGAGGAGAGAAGCACGGTGTGTATTGCTGTGGTAGTGTGAGTAAGGCCAGCATTAGCTTGCATTCACTTTGCAGCTACTGTATCCTCATGAGCTCATACCCGTGATTTCATTTTCTAAATCCACACAAACTGAGTTCTGACTTTCATTCCATGAGGTCTTAAAGTTATCCAGAGGATTTGAATTTCAAAGCTTAAAATAACCGCACCAGTTTCATGAAGGGAACTGTCGTCTAATCTGTGTTTATTCAGCTGTTGAACACAAAAGTCTCTATTGTGGCAAATATACTGAAGCAGACTGATGCACCGGTGCTGTTGGATGGAGCATGCGTGCTAATGCGCGGCTTTCCAGTCATTCAACCTCTGATGTGGAAATAGTTGAATGCTTTTTAGGGCCACAGATGCATTTACTTCTGTGTTATTGCCCGTGAATAAACACTTTTAGACCACATTGCATCACTTTTTACGTCTCCAAGGTTACAGTTTCTACTCCAATCAATTGATCTTCCTGTCCATCTGATGACATCAGTGGCATTATACAGATAGATCATTTCAATACGCAAACCATGCCTGTGGTGCGAACAGTTTGGAAAGATTTCTGGGATGTATTTGTGTACAAGAATACAGGAGAAAAGGGAAAAAGCCACATTTTGACCTTGCATATACAATGCAAGCATTTTATTTTACTTTCCCATAGTTTTTCATATCTTGTATATTGTATACTTTCTCTTGGTTTAAATGATCTGCCTTGAGTTATTGCTGCAATAAGAAGCGAATCATTAGACCCTGCATTGTCTAAGAACTTATGGTTGATGTGCCCTGTATTAATCAAAATCATCTCCGTCATAACTTCAGCAGATTCATCATAGATTGCAGAATTGTTTAGATGACTGATATTTATGGTAATGTCATAGCGTTTTTCTTTTGTGGCATGTCGCCTTTGCATATTACACAGTAATACTCTGTTGGTGTCCCTGCAAACAGGAGACACTTTCTCTCCGTCACTAGATGGCAGTGTGCGACTATAATGTGCAGGAAAAAGGCCTGCTGCATCAGAAAATGAACCAGCCTCTAGCAGCTCAGAAAGCATCTTCCTCTTTGGAATTGCGAGCTTAAACATCACTCTCAACATTTTTAAAGAGGATATCATAAGCATCACATTGAATCCAAAATGTTTTTATGAAAGGTCTTTATGATATGACATCCATAGAGGCAACATTTTACATTTTTTATTGGATACCCAAATATTATTCTCACTGTCTTTGATTGAAATGATCAAATGGGAAGTTTGTAAGGGTTCTCAAATCATGTCGGTCGTCTAAAACCTAAAGAACTCTGCAACGACTTATGCAACCATATGTATTTTTTACTATATCCAAAAGACTTGTATCACAAGTAGATTAAATAAATGATTAAAGACACTGAAACCAGATAGCCATAAAAGTCAAATCCAATTTTCATAACTGATCCAACATTCAAACTCACATTTGCGCAAGGGTATGATGAAAGGAAGCTGTCCATTGACTTTGTTTTTATAGTAAATGATAAATAACAATCACAATGCAGACCTGTAAATTAAGTTTATTAAATGAGCCAATTTACATCACCTCCCACACTTCAGTATTAGATAATAATCCCTCTCCCAACAAAACAGCTTCTTTTTTTTTAAAGGAGAGATAATGAAAGAAAACCCCAAAAAAGTTTTAAGAGCAAAACCAACTCTGTTTTTCCCAAAAATAATAACTGAGCTGCAAGAGAAATGATAAATTAACATAACAGAAAGGTATGACAATAGCCTATCGGATTTTTTTTTCAATGCTCTTTAGCACAAAAATCCATATTGACCCAAAGGTAAGTAGCCTGACCCTTTCAGGCTTTCAGATAGTGTGTTGGAGGTACAGAGGGAGGGGTGAGGGAGAGATGCAGTTGTCGTAGAATATCTGAAGGTTCTGGTCAACATCCAAATTACTCTTCAGGAAGATCTCGAGTTCCTGGACCGGCATCTCGTGCACGCTGTTGCCCTCTTTGGCGTTTTTGGCCAAGACTCCGTAGGACGGGAAGTGGATGCGCACGTCGTGCGGTGCGTTGCGGTCGTACTCCGTGCAGCAGTACGCGGACCACACGTCTTCGGGGATGGCCACGCGGTCCTGGTTGTTTCTGCGGATCATGTTGCCTCTGGTGGTCACGCCGGTCACGATGTAGGCCGTGCCGCGGCAGAAGTTGTTGAGGCGGACGCGGATCCGCTCCTCGTACTCGCGCCAGGGCCCAATGTTGAACTCGCGCATCTCCGGCACCACGTTGGTCAGCGTGTAGGTGGCGGCGCGGTCGTGTGGGGTGGACTGGTGCTGGTCCGGGTTCAGGTGACCTCTCTCATACAGGACCACGTCAGAGTAGTCATCCAGGACTGCCTGGCTGTCCTCAAACTTCATGTGCAGGTAGCCAGTGGGGAAGGCCTGCATGTTCCCATTGCCATCGACTTCTGCCAGCTGGGGAGACACAGAGACACACTTCTTTGATATACAATACAAAGCCAGTATTGTCTATTAGGCCTCTTTGCCTCTGGAGTAGACTTATTGAGTATTAAAAAATATATATAGTATACTCCAGTGTGAGCTACCTGGTTAAACAATGGTTAAAATGAATGAGCTTTTTGGCATTTTTAAAAGCAAACCCGAACTATCACTCAAAGCATCTGACCTGTGGCTCAAACATCCAAGGGTAGTCGACACGTCTGTCTCCCTCTGTTTTCTTGAAGGTATAAGCCGAGTAAACCGGAATCCGCTTCTGGGGGTCATACAGGGTCACAAAGCGAGGCCTGTCAGCATACCGTTGACAGATCCTCCTCAGCTTGGTGTCGGTGAACCCCCGCGGCGGTGTCCCCATGTACAGGGAGTCCTTGCACCTCTCTATGTGATTAAAATCTTGAACAACCGAGGCTGACATCAGAGGCAAAAGACAGGCCAGCAGAGGAAGAAACGCTGAAGGTGCTAACATATTTGTGGTGAAAAACATCTCCTCAGTCTCACCTACTGGGGCTTCTGGAAAGAAATGACAGAAAATGTTTGCAGTTATGATTATGGCAAATCAGATATACAAAGCAGTTAGAGAAAGTGTGACCAAAAGACAGGCCTCCTACCACGCGTGGGCGTGGATGTGCATGTCATTGCTCTGACCTACGATTCTAAAATACTACTGAATAAAAAAAGCTGTATGCTCTCTTGAATATTATTCTAAATGCTCTTTTTGAAGTAAAGCTACTGTACCAGACTTAAGGATCTATTGAGGTTATTAAGTCTCTTTGGTCATTTAGACTAATTGACAGGACTGTCCCTGTGAGTTCTTAATGAGGTTATGTTTTGACCTTTGAGATAGCCATTACATTTTATTCAGGTGCAATCAAATGCTGAGGCAACAAGATATTGGATCATTGACTGAGGTGCAGACAGCGCTGTTAACTGTCACAGCTTTACCATGCACACCTGTTCTGAACAACTTGTGAAGGCCTGATTTGACACAAAGCATAATTTCCAAAACTATCAGCCAAAATAACTTCCCATTGCAAAAAAAAAAAATGTTGGCCTTGCAAGGGTAATTCACTCTCAAAGAGTTTGGTGATGACGGGACATTCAAATAGGTCATTCATGGACGTTTCTATCAGCGACGTGGTAAAATGCAAAAGTGTCTAATCTGTCGCAGTGATGAACAAAAGGCCTACAGTGACCAGTGTGTTTTTGAGCTACTATGCTACTCAGCGTAAATGATGGAGATAAAGCCCGAAAGTTTAACTGCGACACGGCGACAAAGAGCGTACAAGTTCAAAAGCAAGAAAAGGAAATAAGAAAATAACCCAGAACTCCATGGCAATGGAAGAAACTCGATCTGCCATGAAGTAGAGCGAACATTTCATAGCAAATGGTTCAGTGTTCTGCCAAAACGGGTGCTTGACTTATTCTGGCAGCTCATTGTGTACAGAGCAAGTAATCCATCTGAAACTCTCTTCCTGTTTCGAAAGTTGCAGCTTGCACACATTATGCAAATTCTTTATTTCTTTGCTATTTATCAGACACATTTATGACCACGATGTGATGATTGAGGATGCACAGTTTCCTCTCTCCAGTATTGCAAGGGACACGTGCATGCTTTACTTATCCTTTGATGACAACATGGACCTAGTGGTCTTCCGATACCAGGAGGGTCACCGATTGATCCGCTCATCAACCACGTGTCCTGTCAGTGTCCCATATCACTTTACGGGCTCTGAGGAGGATCATCACCTCAATCAGTGACTCCCCACCAGGGCTTTTCTGGCCCTATAGAGGAAAGAGTGCGGAGTATAGCCAACACTGAAGTAGCTCAAGTCATAACAAGCAAAAACATTCAAATAAAATGTGCTGCATATCAATGGCTGGAGTGTCTGGTGCTGCTGCGCTCAAGCTGCTGGCCTCTTCTCAAGCCGGTTTTATGCAAATGGCAAAAAAGTGTTTGTCAGATTAGCTGGTGCAACAATCCTTCACTGCCCTAATAAGTCAATTTGAGTGACTGAGTGTGGTCATTCATCGAGGGACCAGCTTGCCTCTCTGATCTAATCCTGAGTTATGGCAATCATAACTTATGTAGCTGGGGCTGATGATGCAGTTATGCGAACAGACATTTCTCAGCTGTCAGCGTTTTTACCAATTAAAATTAGAAATTCAGACCAAGTGCCGACCCAGCTCGGCTGCCCCCTGCCGCCTCGTCTCCAGCAGAGGAGGGAGAGTGTTTCACTGCTGTGGTGTTAAATGTTATCAGTTCTTTGGAAGGAAATGTAATTACTGATCATGATTTTTGTTTCCTTCAAACGGTCACTACCCATGCAGGTCATGGGGGCAGCGCTTTGGGGTGCGATTGTAAACATGTGACAAAAATCATCTAATGGTCTGTCTGTTTATTTGTTTGTTTCTTGGGGTGGATGACAAGTAAATCTCTGTGATTATAATCCAAAATCCTAATGAATCCCTCTGTAGTTCTGTGTCTCAGACAGGCTTGAAATGATGGTCTGTAGTCGAATATAATGCATGTCAGTTAAAAGGCTGACCTGGAATAAGCCCGTTAGACAAGTATGGATGCGCAGAGCTGTTGAGAGATTTAACAACTCATTTTATTGTTGAATCATTCTGGTACAGGGAGTCAAACAGTAATTAATATATATATAATCAATGCAGTATGACAATTTAAACAGTGTGACAATTCAATGTGATAAGTACTTTTACAAAATTGAACCCATTTTGCTTCAACACAACTTTCCAGGACATTTAAATGTTCTGGTCTGCTTTGTGTTCCGCACGTTCATGGAACACAGAACGTCATCGTGCAATAATACATTTTGCCCACTTGGAGGCAGTGTAGGCTTGTTTGTTGTTTTCCTGCTCCACGATAATCAAATGCATTTATGCATATAAACATCAATTTAAACTTTTTAAAAAGCCATCAACCCGGCTGCATTTGTAAGTCTGAAAAGTGTGCCAAACATCACCATTGTCATTTACATGTTTAGTCCCCATTGACAGGCAGTTGTTAGGCTGTACTTTATACAGTATTGTGTTCCAACAGTTTTCCTGATATGTAAATGAATGTATTTCAATTTTGATATTCTGAGACAAATTTCTGTTTCTCTGTGCTCAACATAAAACTCGGATGAATCTTCCAATTTTGAGCTCGTCTGTTTTTCCTTTTCCCTTCCAAACTCTTCTTTTCTCCTTGATTTCTTCTCATGTCACTCAGTTTACCATTGGATTTGGTCAGAGCCGTATTTTGTCAGAATTTTAGTTGTCAATTAAACAAATGGGTAAAACATCGGAACACATTTGTTATTTACTGTTCACTTGGTGTGACATTAAACTGTTTTTAATAATGTAACTCTTAATCAAACCCATATTAGCATGATATTTATAATTATTTCTGAAGGTCATGGGTGACATTGTAAAACAGTTGCTGTATCATTACTGTATCAGTAGGTGACGGATGTGTTTTTTTTTTCTTTTTCTTTTATGAACTATTGAGACAGACCTTCACTGAGCCACTAGGGGGCAGCAGCCATTCCAGCCTAAGAAGCTTTCCCCTCTAAATTCTGCACCAAACTCCTCCGATTGGTCCAAATACCCACATGAGCTTGCGCATTGACCAATAGAATTTGGGCTCATCAGGCGCTGTTGCTAAGGCACTTGAGAGGTAAAAAAAAAAAAAAAAAAAACTGTCAGCGGGGCTGCTTCCACCATTTTCATTCTCACAGTCGTCTGGCTGCTCCGTCCGTCCCTCCCTCTCACCGTGCACTCAGGCACCGACAGCTCTGCCTGCTTTTCACCCTGCAGAGGGAGCGAGCGGTGGTTTCTTCACCGTGTATCAGTATTAATTAAGGACCCTCCCTCGTGAACCCGGAGCCGTAAGCTCCACCTCCCCCCCCCCCGGTTATCCTGCCACTTGACATTTGAGCTCTGCCAACACTCGCCGCACGTCCCCTCACCATTTCCCTCTGCTTCACTTCATCCAGAAACATACCTGGTTGCACAGCTCCGCCATGAGCCAGGGGAATACGAGAAACGATTACCGTAATATAATGTGCATTACGATTCTATGACCATTTCCTCCTTTAGTTAAGAAGACATGAAATATATTTTTGAGGGGATTTGCAGAAAAAGAGTGTCAACCACTTGCAGTGATGATTATTTTTTTTAAAAAGAGTTCCAGGAGATTATTTTACAGCTCTGGAAAAAAATTAAAATATGCTGTCTCCTGGACTGTAGGCTACTGGCCGTGTTCCAACTCTCACTCGATCTCTCTCTCACACATGCACACATACAGAGAGAGAAATAAAGAGCCCCTCCATGCCTCTGTCTGCTGTTTCCCCCCACCCCCATCTTCTCCTGCCTCGTCCCTCCTCCAGCTCGCTGCAAAATGTCATAGATTAGAGATTCTCCCCCCGTGTCATTGGCTCGCGCCTTGCGATTGGCAGCTCTGTCGGGCCCGCCCCGCAGGTCTCCGTAAATGGATCGGTGTGCTCGGAGAGCCCGAGCATCAGAGAGTGGAGTGGAAACAGGAAGAGGTGGAGAGGAGAGGGGGGGAGAAAGAAGACTGAGAGGAGAGGATCGGGTGAGACAAGGTGGCGAGGAGTGAAAGGGAGGAAAAGGGGAGCAGAGGGGCGTGTGGACCAAAGAGAACGAAGACAAAAAAAAACAAGGTAAAAGAGGAGGACATTGCAGAGCAGTAGCTGCATGTGCTATTTTGCATATGTCTGAACGTAAATAACAGTACTTGTACTGCATCTACCTGTGTGGAAGAGGTGTGAGCGTGTGTCTGCATTTCTGTGCATCCACTGTGTGTCATTGTTCTGAACGATCGGTCTTGGCAGAACATACTGCAGTGTGTGTGTCTGCAGACAGTGCTGCACATTCATGCATGAAGCTCGCACACACTCGCGCACACACACACACACACACACACACACACACGCGCGCGTGCACACATACTGTGCTCACGTGCAGACACAGAGAGAGCAAGAGCAGAATTGTGAAATGATGAATGTGGTGATGGGGAAGTGTTGCGGTTTACACTTGCAATATGGTTACATTTGTGCTCCGTGGAACGTTTAACTGTTGAATATCAGCCAACGTGTGTGTCTGTGTGTGTGTGTGTGTGTGTGTGTGTGAGAGGCGTACAGTAGTAAGAAGCCACCAAGTGTCATGATTCATCTTCATCTGGAGTCATGTCTAATTTGTGTCACATAAGTATTTGGCTCCACTGAAAGTTGGACTCAGCCTGATGAACACCTATCACACAGAGAGCGTTTGGCTTCGCTGTGTTTTTCATGTGCTCACACTTGTTTACTTTTTGAACCGTTTCAAAGTAGAATGAATAAAGATTGTGTTGGGTTACTTTTTAAACGTATGCTTCCAGCTGATATGACTGCCAGTTGAGGTAACCACCTGGACGTGCCATTCTAGGTTACCATTCACCACACAAGCCAGCCGCCTGACACACACACACACACACACACACACACACACACACACACACACACACGTGCATCCAGTGCCTTCTTCTAACCTGTTAACCTGCCTCATTGTTTGTTCACAAAAAAAAAAAGCTGTGCATTTTGGCATTGTTTGGAAAAGACACCCCTCTTCCTTGTTCCTGACCTTGCCTTGGTACATTCCAGTACCCCTCAGAGGGCTGTGCTTTATGGAGCATACACCGGGAGAAGCTGCTATTACAGAGAGGGAGAAGGGGGATAGAGCCGAGGGGAAGCTGGGCTGCAGGGATGTTATTTTTAGAAATGTGATTGATATTCGTCTCGTACTGTATGCCGTCTCTGTGATCGTGCCGCTATTTCAAGGGCCGAGTCCAACAGAATCACACACGTGCGTGCGTGCGTGCGTTCTGAGAAGGGGTTGTCGGTCCGGTCTATCTGTCTGCTTCTCGCTTCTGCTCCCTCCATATCTCTGTTAGCTAGCCAAGGAGCCACCAGAGACAGGCCTGGTCTGCTGCAGCCCATCCTTCCTTTTATGGTATAGGATCAGTATCCTTACTACTTACACACACACACACACACACACATGCACACAGAAAGTGGTGCACATCTGCAGTGGTTCCCTGTAGCTAGCAAGCGGCTCTGAATAGTATGAGGTATGCAAGAATGTGACGGACTGCTGGTTAGTCCCTACGAGTGCACAAATTGGAGTGTATTTGGAGAGCTGTAGCACTAAACAATGAATGTTGTTGTTTTTTATTCAGCTGACAGAGCGGCTGCATAATGGTTGCAGACATCTGAATAGAGAAATGTGAAAGTATGCATTAAATCCTATATGCTATACCCCCCCACCCCCTCTCTCTCTCTCCCCCTGTCAAAATCACACTCCAACACAAACACTCCCCTCCTTGCTCGAGGCCTTGCTCCCAGCTCTGGACTAAATGATATCATCGGTTGCCAGGGATACAAGGACACAGCGTGCAGAGAAAAGGGAGGGTGAGGCATAGGCAGAGCCATACACATAGCCTGAGAGAAAAAGGGAAGAGGCTGGGATATTGGGTATCAAGAAAGAAAAGGGGCCTTGTTGAAATAAGTAGTGAAGATGGCAAAGGGCAGGGCCACGGAGAGGAAAGACAGGAGCAAAGAGAGCCTGTCAGAGGTTACTGGCCCATCCTTCCTCCCACTTCTGACTTACATCTCATTTCGTCCTCCTTTGTCTGGAGAGGGTATGGCTTGCAACAGGGCAAATGTATGTGAAAGCATGTGTTGTAGGAAATGACAGGCAATGGATAGAAAGGAAGGGAAAGGCAGAGATACCTGAGGGGTGGAGTAGAGATACTGCCCTTGGTTTTGAGACAATAAAACCTTCCTGTCTTGTACATCTGTGCACCAACTGACTGGTATTTCCTCACTCCCTCTACTGTGTGTGTCTGCCAGCTCGCGGAGGATGAGCGTGTCTATTTAAAGGGGTCCAAGTCTGCACGGGTCCGCCGTCTTGCTATTCCTGACCGACGGCATCATCGGATTTGGGATTTGGACCAAAGTCTGTCTTCCCCCCCCCTTTTCTCTCAGTGCTCATTGCGAGGTAAGATTGCTCGCAGGGATGCACAAACAGAAACGCATGCACATACACTACTAGGTTAGAAATACAGTCGTCCGGCAGTCACACATGGGGGTTTCAGCAGAGACGTGAAAGGATGCATGGCTATCCCTCTTTGGTTACAGAGAGATGACCAGGGTTTCCTTGGTGACAAGAGGGAGCGGGAGGCAGCAGACTGAGGGGTGCAGACGGCAGGTTTAACCTACCACTTTCAACTACTATCACACACCGGCATAACAAATGTAAGAATGGATCTGTACAGCGTCATTTGTCCACAAAATATTTCACTATGCAAGTCAGGACCACTGCACACTCTTACAGTGCACTGTTTACATTGCACATTCTTTTCTTCAACGTATCTCACTGGGAAGCAGTGGGTTCACCCAACAGCAACTTAACCCCTTTTGCACGTGACATCATTTGGAGCTGGATTCCAGATGTCTGGAATTAACCCTGCGCAGATGGGTTTGATATTGGAAGTAGAGGGCCATTGTTGTGCAGAATCAAATTTAAGCTGCTGCTGACTGACGGCTCCCCCCTACAACACTCCACCAACGGCGTGTCCCCGTGTGCAACAGGGAGGGTCTACAGCAGATGGTTTATCTGCTGCCTGGGTGATGTTGCTCAACTACCAGCAGCGGTTAAAAAGCGCGGTGAGGTGCCTTGTACTTGTCAAAGAAACAGGGGGAGTTGCAACACTTTGTCTAAAAATGTAACGCCACACAAAGTTATATACGCCATACAAGTTGCTCGCATCAATTAAGCACACGATGACAGTTGATGTGACATTAACATAACTTGACATTCTGGGACACAAATAGGCAAGTCATGAGAATAAAGTACAACCCAAGATCCAAAGCTTCATAGAGTTCGCTGAAGATCGCTTATTTCAGCGTTGGCGGAGAATCGCAGGAGCTCAGAAAGCTGGTCTCTCACAAAGCAAAACAGGAGGTGATGTGAGGATTAGAGTGGATATAAGCGGACGTGGTGTGTCTATTGCACAGCTTTATGTGACGGCTGATGGCACACAGTGCATAGGGAAAAATGCATCCAGTCTTAATTCAGCCGTGTGTGATTGTATGTACACACATTTCCTTTTGTGTCCTCTTTTCTTACTCCAAGAATAAATCTGAATGCAGTTGACTTTAGAAAGCCTAAAGCCTCAGTGGGAAGAACCGTCTGGCTCCAGTTGCTCTAGCAACTGGTAGGAAATGGACTCTTGAAGAGGTTGCTCACTTAGCTCATTCAGCACTCGCAGAAAGGTTATTTCACATCTGCAAACCACAAGCAAATCCTGTGTGGAACAAACTTGTAAAATGTACCACACGGAGGGGGGGGTTAAAATGTGGCACAGCCTATATCGTCATAGTATTTATAAATAGCTGTGGGAAATGAATGCATGTCGAGGTGCAACCTATCTGCGATACAGTAAAGCTCTCTTCAGCATGCAAAGTTGATCTTTTACAAGGTCAACTAACTTTGAAGACAAAATAGGCTACTGAGTGCTGAAAGTGTGCAACAAGAGAGACAGTAAGACATCTTTCCTGTCCATATTCAAATAAATGACTATTCAACAACTCTATATATTCAATATGCAGATTAGACAGGGAGGTTAGGATAAGACATTGAGACAAAACGGTAAGTGGACAACTTGAAACTCTGCAGAGACTCAGCCAGCCACACATCTGACCTGGTGCGGTGGTTCAATACTCAGCAGGACGTCACGTGGGGGAGTTGGTGTAATTGAAGCAAATTAACCAGCAGCTGGTGATGAACTGTGAGACTGGATGGAAGATGGGTGCTGTTGATTTGAGACACAGTCACTCACCAGTCCTGTCAAATAAGAAAGGGAGACTCGGGGCTGAGAGAAATACTACAGCAGCAGAGCCCGGTTTTCTTTTCCTCTGCTTGTCTTTGCTCTAAAAGTGAGGTTGCCATGGCCCTTCTTCTTAGTGCCATGTTCTTTTTTTTTTTTTTTCGATCATTGGATGTCCACTGGCTGTGGTGGCTGCTGGGTAGCAGTGATTAGAGAGAGGCTGAATGCACAATGCAGCTCTGGCTGACTGATGATATGACTGCTGAACAGACACAGTGCAGCAACAAAATACAGCATGATGAAATCAAATGTACCAGAGATACACAAACTGACACTATGGTCTCGATGTACATCACAGACCCACCAGGATAAGACAGAACAAAAGCAATGATTGTGCTGACATTCACGTTTCTCTCTCTTTTTGCTCTCTTTTGGTGTGAAGTAAAGGGCTTCCCAAACACAGACCAAGACTGGTGACATTTGTTTCTGTCTCAGTACTTTGTGTGTGTGTGTGTGTGTGTGTGTGTGTGTGTGTGTGTGTGTGTGTATGCATGGCTTTTTGCATGCAAACATGTACTTTGTGCACCACTTTAGCACTTTATGGTATCACCGTGTTGATTAAAGCACCTATGTGAACCTCTAGATTACCGTCAATTGTAGTGTTGGTGAAACACTACAATTGTGTTGGTCAATTGTAGTCAGTTACCGCAGGATGGAGATGCTGAAATCCACACGTTTTGCATCAAACCCCCCCGAATATATCCACGTGTGAGTCGCTGCGTGTAGTGTTTTTCGTTAGTGTTCACCTGCTGCTGTAATTGGATTTTACGTTACTCGATTACAGGGCCCCCCCCCCTGTTGGCCTTTATCAATCGGTGAGTGGAGCAGTCTTCTGAATAAGCATCGAGGAAATAGAGCTTCGGGGCAAAGTGGTGGGCGTTGTCATTGCATGAGCTACTGTCTGATTGGTTGAAATTGTTGCATTTTACATAGCCAGACGTTCTTTTAAATGAGATATCATATTTATTCATGTATTTATTCAAAAAAAGCAACACCGTACACATTAAACGTTATCTGTGTTTCAGGCTGCATGTATCTCCCCGCAGAGCTGTACTCTGGCCGTAACACATGGGACTCCTATCCAGCTGGAGGACCTAACAGAGGACAATGGGCTCCTGGGAACATTCGTCCCTGGAGCCACACAGAAAGGTCAGCAGCACCATCACAATACTCGCACTTAGTGTTTCTACAAAGTCACCTTTAATTCTTAAAGGACAGTAGTCCATTCGCAGGTGCACACGTATCATACCACATGCAGTGGATATAGTCTCTTGTGTATTTACTGTACTCTGTAGTTTTTCCTTATTTCTTGACTGCTCATGGATTATGAGCTTTAGTCATGAACATTAACCAAGACTTCCAAAGGTTGTTGGTTGTAACGGTTAAGAAAGCAGATACAATATAAATGCCCTTAACTCCGACCTAGAGCGTTTGGAAAGAATAAACGTCCAAAGCCTTCCCGAAGATGATTTAAACTCATTCGGAGTGGATAGTGTGGCACAACTTGAGGCTTGAACTCTTCCAACAAGGGTCATTCCAGCAGGTGGCGACTCCAGCTTCTGTTGTCTGGGTTGATTCCAGATAAGCACCACTTCATGGGACTGACGCTGTGATGAGCATATTCATGAACAAATCTTACCGCAGATGGGCTGTAAGCAGGAGCCCATCTGCGGTTTAAATAAGCAGGACTCTGGTGAATGAAACTATAACTTCTTCAGCTGCAGCTGTGAGAAGCCTCAATCGAGCTGTTCAGCTGCAGCGGTTGAGGGTGACTGAATGAATGCGATTATGTCTGTCGCCGAAAGGTTGGGAATTTGGCAATTGTGACTCTGATAATGTTGCGTGACATAAACACAGCACTATAAACAACAACTGATATTTGAAATAAAATAATAATAATATGAAATCCAAGATAATAGTGCTTTTTTAGCAAGCTATGCAAATTAACTCCATATTCAGAGAGGCCTCATTGCTACAAAAGTGCAAGATTAGCAATCAACCAGGAACAAATTGATTAAGATATTCAAAGAAAGAGTGGACGTGCAAAGCAAACACTTGAAAAGAGAAACTGATGGCTGATTAACCGGGTTCAACCTGACTTGTAGCCAATAGCATCAAGGTTTTATAGATACTACTGTAGCTTTGTATGTGTATTTTCAACTCTACATTATTATTTTGAGTCTATAGATTGTCTGTATGTTTTTTTTGTGTCACTACAGATGCCATGGAGGGCGCAATCAATCACATAACCTACCGTCAGGTCGTCTTTATAATAGGTGAGTGACACAGGGTAAACATTGCACAGAAAATCCCGCTCAAATAAGTTCTGTAATGCAATTTCACTGAAGCCACTTAGACAATCAGCTTCGGTTGGACTTGCTACTGGAGCAGCAGAACAACAGTACAATACTTGATCTGTGTCATGGTACTTGTTGCTTAGTGCGGTTGGTCTTTTGCTCAGGGGGGAGAGAACAGTCAGCCATGTCCAGTACAAGGTTGTCTCAAAGGGGCACCGACAGCCTCTACGTCTCTGGGATGGAAAAGAGCAGTCGTTTGAGGCCCAGAACTGGCATCACAACTCCACACGCTCATTCCACAACAGAGGCGGCACCAGCAACGGTTATCTAACAGGACCAGGAGAGCGCTACGCAAGCTGGGACAACAATGCCAGCAACTCTGTGGTGAGACCTGCAGTTCCAGAATAAGTTCCACAATATTACTTTCAAAAGAGTTCATATTATTATTATTATTATTATTATTATTAGAACTAGAAGTGTGTCATCATTTGATCATTTGATTATTTTCTCTTGACGACTGTTAGCATGGGGGGCCTCGCCAGCATCGCAACAACAGAGAACTCCAGTCCCCACCAGAGAGATGGGCCCCCTCAGACTGCAGCCGGAGCTTTCCTGTCAGAATGATAAACAACAGACCAGGACCATGGAAACGGCCAGCCCTCCACCAGCGGCGAGACCAGCTGCACCAGCACAGTCCACCTCCACAGCACCCTCTGTCCCCCAGGGACGAATGTCCAGCCAAGAGGAGAAGGGACTCTGGCCCTGATCAGGTGGAGTTTGTTGGCTTAGATTCCTTTGTTAAATATAGCCCATTTATTTGTACACAGGCTTTTTTTTTCTGTGCAACAGCACCACCCATTGGTTAAAATTCCATCTAGTATGACAGGTTACTTCTGCTTCTGTGTTTAGTCATCTCATCCTGGATCAAGACATTTGTCTTCACTTGCCCATGCCCCATCACCACCTCGCCACCACCGCTGCAACCAAGACGACTGGAAGCCTCCTCATGAAAGGGCGGGTCATTGCCACCACTATGTCCACAGGACCTCAACAACGCTGCAACAGGTAAAAGTAGAGTCCGTAAATGTTTACTAAAAGATGAAACTGAACAAGCATCAGTTGGTGGTTTTTATTGTTGTTGTTTTTTTTCATTTTGCAGGAAACCTCTAAACTGCGAGCTGGAGGACATGGCTTAAGTAACAGTCACCTAGCGGCTCTGAACCAGAGCTGTCGCAGCAGACCACCACAATGCGAAAGCGATGGGAAGGTCGACCGGAGAATCTCGTCATCACCAGCAGACCACACCCGTGTGCCTTACAGCCAAAACCATCATTACTGCTATCAACGGCACACAGGCCACCCCAGAGCCCTACCGCACAACATGCCGCTACACCCTTTTGAGGAAAAGGACTCACGGAGCCATCACCACAAACAAAGCACAGTGAGAAATACACATTTAAAATAGCATGAACAAAGTCAGCATAAATGCATAAATAAATGGGTAGAGACAAACTCTCAATAACTTTTCAGTTTGTGCCATTTCACCAGGGAAGTTGCTATTGATGATATCATTAACCTCTTCCACCATCCTGACCATAGACCCATTTATGTCTGTTTGGAGGGAAAGGGGGTCTTTAGGGGGAGATGGCAGGTCAACAGTATATGCCACATAGAAGTGTTGTCCAACATCGGGAAGCTAGGAACCTGAAGATAGATTTAAGATGCAGCGCAGCACTTTGTGTCAATTCTTATTGACATAAATCTATAAAAAACATTGTGTTTGTCAGACATTGTCATAAGTTGCAGCAATACTTTGGGTTGATATTTGGTGCTAAATGTAATTTTCGACCACTCAAATTGATAAAAATGGTAAAAAAAAAAAAATCCCTCCAACATAGCACATTAAGAAACCAAGACCTTGAGGAACACCATAGAAAAATCATAAAGTGAGGTCAGCTTTCAAAATATGGTCTCACTACAATGTAATTGTTATGATTGTCACACATGATGACAATTTGTGCAATTCCAAAACTGTCCAAAAACCCCAGTATGTAGAAATATTTTAATATATACCATTGTTAGAAAAAGTAAAAATAATACATTGATACTGCATGTTTTTTTTTCCTGAACAAGTGTCTAAACAGATGTAACCCTCTGCAGGAACCTCAGCGCACTCATCAAAGGGGCAATTCAAGGGATCCAGCCCTCTCCAAGTCTTTTGGTGCAGCTTCTCCTTCCTATTCGTCCCTCCTCTGCAGCCCTAAAGATGGAGCTTCTTCTGCCAGCAGTCCACGTGCTTCTTCCAGTCCCTCTTCATACACAGTGGCCAGTGGCAGAAAAGATCCATCAATCATTCATCAGTATATCCCTGGCCTTGGTGGACAGCAGAAACTCCATGGAAGCCCTAATTACACCCTAAGACCTAGCTTGACATCTACCACGTCTCTCACATCTCACACTGGTCCTAAATCCAGGTTTTCGGATGTCAAATATAGAAAGACCTTGCAGCCCCTCTGCTCACGGCAGTCCCCCCACGGCAGATCAAGAGCAATCAAACCGGAAAAGATGTTGGAAGGACACAAAAAAACAGAGAAGCTGATGAAAAAGGAGAGGAAGGGGGAAGTTCAAAAGACAAACCGAAAGGGTGAAGAGAGGAAGAGGCATAAGAAAAAAGAGGAAAAGAGGTTGGCCGAGAGAAAAAGAAGGAAGGATAAAGCGGCGAGGAGGGAAAGAAAGTTAGGCTTGAAAAGTAAGGTCACAGAAAACGAAATGTTTACCTCCAGCTCGACTTCCAAATCATCGGGAGAGGCCAAAATATGTAAAATGGAGACTTCAACTCTGTCCCCAGAGAATCAAGGCCAGTTACCACCCAAACACAGGCACAGGGAGAGGAGGGAACGAGCAGAGAGGACACACAGGCCATCCGCAAATACTCCTCATCTCAGCAGCACTTCCCCGCAGCCATCCTCAAAATGTGGAAATCACAAAATGCCCAAGAAGCACAGCGGTCCCCCAAGACTCCCTGTCAAGGAACAACTAAAACGGTCTCTTCCCAGGAAAACATGCCCCGACCAGACCAGAAAGAGGCCCACCGCCGTCTCATCACGATCAGAAGCGCGACGAAAAGCAAAGCCCCATGACATGCTCCCTTCCCTTTTATTTAAAGCCTTAGCACCTCTCAGTGCAGCATGTTCTATCAGCTCAGAGCAGCCCATCCACGGCAAAGAAGGTGGGCAGGGAGGGGCTCTCAACGCTCCAGACCTACAGCCTGTGGGAAATATGAGGGAAACGGGAGACAACCTTGCCAATACTCCCCCTGTTCTCAGCTGGCAGGGCTCTCCAGTATCAAGTCTGGGAGAAGATGAAGAGGAGCTAGAAAAGGGAGTGTTGAGCAGACCCGTCCTCCAGCCCAGCCCCACCCAGTGCTTCTCTCCTCCTCCTGTCGACAGCGAGAGCACCGACGATATGAATAAGGAGCCTTGTGAAAGTACGCTGGCTGATTATTCCCACGATGGCATGTCTGAACTCGGTGATCTACCTTGTGCGACGGAACAAGTTGCTGAGGGAGAAAAGGAAGAAGAGGTGGACAGCGGCAGGGAAACCTCTGGCTCTCTTCTCCGTGAGCTTTGCCACCATAAAACCGGTTTGGATGACGTCTTCAAGAGCCTGGCAACCTTTCTCGGAGGCCAGCGGGTCACGTGTCGAGGCGGTCCATTCGGAGGGCCTCCTGCTGGCTCCGCGGGAGGAGTGAAGTACTCCTCGTCTCTTGAATTGGGGCCAGAGATTCATGAGCATCATGATTTCTCTCCACAAACCGACCGTACAGCGTCCTCCGAATCCAGTAATCAGTCACCAACTCACTCTACCTCCACATTTTTGAAAACCCACAGTCCGACACGGACTCGGAGGGAGCCTGTCGCGGACGCCCTGGTGCAGGAGAAGAAGGAAGAAATCAAGACCAACATAGAAGAGAGCCCAGAGGGTAAGGATATGGAGATCCTTTCTGAGAGAAACGAGTCCTCTCTTTTGGATGGGTCACTGAGTGCAAAGCTGAGACTCACCACGACACACACAGCTTCTTTCACCAGCCTCATTACTCTCTCTACCAAGGAAGAGAGGGGACACAGTGCAGAGACAGAAGGCATAGGTACGGACCGAAAGAGAAAACAAAAGGTTAATGATGGGGGGAGTGAGGGAGAGATCAAGATTAAGATAAAGACGGAGGAAAGCAGCGTCATCGGTTCTAAAAACAAAGCAAATGAAATGAGGAACTTGGAGGAAAAAGACGTTTCGTCCTCGGTGCTCGTCATCTCCAGAAAGTCACCCAAACCTCTCAAAGATGGTAAGAAGGGCCAGACTCCCCGGGAGAATCAAACCTCGCATGACAAACATATCCACAAAGAAAAAGTGGACACAAAGATCATAACTGAGAAGAAGGAAGAGTTAGAAAATAAGATATCCTCAGCAGCCGGAAAAACAAATACCAAGACCCCAAACTCGGCGTCAACTCTAACGATCAATACATCCAAATTATGTGTGACCACACCCGCAAGTAAACCTCTCTGCTCAGTAGCTCCAGTTGACCCCATGAAACTGAAAGCGCTGTCCATGGGCTTGTCTAAGGAGCTAAAGATCCTCTTGATTAAGGTGGAGAGTGCTGGAAGACAAACATTCAACATATCGGAGCTGGAGGAGCAAAGAATCCCGCTCTCCAAGATCAGCATTGAAAACACGGGCGCTGAAGTGGTCAGAGCTTGCAAGTGAGTACTCTGACAAAGTTGCTCCTAATTTGGGCTTCTCTTTTATTTATATATGTTTTACATCTGAGCTGTTTCTCTTAATGAATTTAGTCTTTTCTTGCTTTGTCATATTTCTCCAGGGGGACGAGGGTGAAGGGGAAGTTCAAGGAGTCTTTCCTGCTTTCCGCCTTCTCTGTTAAACCTGACATTGCCAGCAAGACCCCCATTCCTCGAGAAAAGCTTAACCCTCCTACACCAAGCATCTATGTGAGTCCACACAGATTAGCATACTGGAATATGCTCCAGCTCAACAAGCGGTATCATCAAGTATTTAATCCTAACAAATTGTTTTTAGCCATGCTAGAAGCATGGACGGCAACGTCAACCTCTGCTGTAGGTTGGCCGATCGGTTGGTGTGCCACTTCGCTCCCAACTGAAATATCTTGATAAGTATCCGACGGCTTGGCATACAATTTTGTACAGACATTCATATTCCCCTCAGGATTAACTGTACATTCCTCGGTGATCCCTTAACTTTTCATCTGCCACAAAAAAAATGTATTATTCTAACACTTTAAGACTCAATACTCGCAAAACTATTGACCTTCGCATCAGCCTAAGCTGTACTTTGTGTTTAGTGCCAATTAGCAAATGTTAGCATGCTAACGCACTACACTCAGATGTTCTACATAATAAAACATATATAACATCAGCATCCTAGCATTGTCATCGTGAGCATGTTAGCATGCTGGTGTTAGCATTTAGCTCAAAGCGCCGCTCTGCCTCAACACAGGGACTGCCTATTGTTTGGACGGCCCGATTATTCCGAAACCCCAATGGTCTGAAAAGCCCATTTCAATCAGGAGAGACAAGTAAATGAAGAAAAGATCATTGTTTTTTTATAAACGGATGATGTGTGTCAGAAAAGTCTTGACAAGAGTCCTTGGCGCTTAGAATCTGAAGGGAGATTTGTAATGGAGGTGCGTCTGCCTTCAGCAGCAGCAAAGGTACAAACCCCTGTGGAGTCCAGACACTGTTGATAGCGGCTGATGAGTCGGCTGAGATTGGCAGACTGAGGAGGCTGATGAATGTGATGAATCTGCGAGGACTGGGCAGTGGAGCGCACTAAAGAGACAACAGATTGATGAGACCAGCTGATAATTACGATTGACAGCCCCAAACAAGGAACTGCAAGGAAATTACGTATGCGTGAGCATGCATGAGAGGAGAGAAATAAACTTCAGGCCGACGCATGCAAAAGTATAATTTTCTCATCAGAACTTGCGCTATTTGTTCAACGCCCATTTTTACAAAGGTTGTTTTTTTTGTTATGTTTGTCTACTGGCGAAGGCAGAAGCCACCTCTTTGCCTCTTTTTACTTGTTGCCTTTGTTGGTTAGGGATAGGCATGAGGAGTGAGATTAGCTATGTTGAGGGTAAGAACATCCTGGTAAGCCAACCAGAGGCAGAGTAGGCTGTCTGTTGCACAAAAGTTTGTATTGTAGGAACAATGGGTGTTTTTTTTTCTGCTATAACAGGCTGTTGGACAAATGAGCTTTCGGGTCCAATGGGAATTTATTGGGATTTCCAAATAATGGGCCACCCGAAAAATGGCATGGCACCCTAAATACAGCGTCAGTGAGCCCCTAGCATGGCTGTAGACCCCTCGGCTTGTTCTCATATGAACTCGTATGAAATGAGTAAATCCCCACCATAAATCTTTGAATTATGTCTTGGATTGTTTTCTCGATAGCAGCAGAGAGAGCTGCCTTATCATACCTTGTTTCAGGACATCTACAGGTTACCAACGTGCTGTCAGTATTTTTCATTGGTTTTCAAAACAAATAAATTAATTCCTTCACCGCGTTCAAATGTCAATCGTTATTCTGCGTTTCTTCCGCAGTTGGAGAGCAAGAGGGACGCCTTCTCTCCAGTTCTGCTTCAGTTCTGCACTGATCCCAAAAATGCAGTTACTGTCATCAGAGGCCTGGCCGGCTCCCTCCGCCTTAGTAAGTTCACACACCACACACGTCTCAGCTAATTTACCCCACTGCAGTTACTCGGTTTATGAAATTCCATTTCAGCTAAATTAGTTTTTGGTGATTAGTAACACAAGGAGCAGGGAAAGGGAAGGAGGTGTTGATCATTCAGATATGAATGTAGCATGTCATAAAACTGGGGGTTATTTTAGATGCAGTAGATATTTTACACATGACATTTGAGAAATGTTATACAACGTACAGTTACACATTCTCTTGAGTCACAACTGTGTCTTTATGATCCATATTTGAATGCAGACCATGTATGCTCAACCATGACGTGATGGCTCGGCCACTGGTAGGCTGCACTTTGATAGAGGGTTATTCATTTGAATGTGTTTGCGTATTTCAGTTTGTTTTACAATCGTCCAGTTTCTTTAAAGTGACTTATTTCCTTACCTTTTTCTCGCTCATACTTTGTTGTATGAAATACTTTCAGCTTAAATTAATTAATGCAACATAACTGGGACAAAGCAAGAAATTCTGATTTAATCTGATAATTATCTCTGTTCGCTTTCCTTCCCCTATGTGAGACCTCGGTCTGTTCTCCACCAAATCTTTGGTTGAAGCCAATGCGGAGCATGCAGTGGAAGTGAGGACTCAGGTCCAGCAGCCCGCCGATGAGAACTGGGATTTAAGTGGTTCGACGCAGACATGGCCCTGCGAAAGCAGCCGCTCACACACCACCATTGACAAATATGCCCAGTATCAGGCCTCGAGCTTCCAGGAGAGCCTGCAGGTAGACATTTTCCATCATGGCCAACACATGTACACACAGGCACACAGATGGTTTAATATTTAGTGGATTTGGATATCATTTAAAGGCATCATTAATTGATTTACTCTAGCCTGTATTGCAACTCTCAACCGAATGGAATCAAAAACCAGAAATGATCCATTGGGCCTCATTCAGGAACCTTGTGTGCAAACTGATTTATCCTTAAGTGGCAAGTATGAGGGAGTTACCAAAGAATTTGTGGCATTCACTAATTTCCTAGTACTTAAAGTTTTCTCCTAGATACGAGTTTGAGTCATGGACAGATAGTCTGTCTTTCTTCTTTGAAATCATAAATAATTCGGAGTTTGAATACGATGCAATAGTCACCATATCATCATCATCATCATCATGGCAATTTACTTTTTAAAATATTTTTCTCTCTGTTGCACCAACAGTTAAACATGTCTGACTGTAATATTGACCACCTCATATTGTTTCTTAGGAGATTTTTATTCAACCCATGTCATATATTGTGTCTGTGTTTGAGTCTTATTTTTACTGTTTGGTAATATCATTTCAATCAGGAGAGACTTCATTAGTGTATGCATCATATGCATGATGAAGTGAATATTCTGGATATTATGAAGGTGAATGGGATGAAGGAGGGTTGCATCGGTTCATGCTTCAATGACAACTGACAGCAGAAGAGAGGAGAAGCAGTTTTACAATTTTGACAGCAACTATGTGGCTGAGGAAAACCGTTAAAGTGAACACCCACAATCAGCTGATTGAGTAGAAGCGCAGAGACGGAGGGAAGGAGAGATTTGTGAATGAATGAGTGTAAAGAGAGGCTTCCTGACTCAACTTCCGCTAGGCTTTGTTATTAATGAAACCCACACACGGAGCAAAGCCGGTAGCCTCATATGAAAATTAGGGGAAATAAATATGCTAATGATAAATTGTCACAAACGCTCTTTTCCCTGTTGAACGGGCAACATTCATCGGAAGAACTGACACTAATTATTTAAGTTTATGTTGGTGAAGCACCCTAAAATACAAAAAAATTACACAAACAAAATAACAAGTGTGCTGAAAGTTCAGTCTTTCTTTGAATCGTATCTGGTGTTTAATGCCTCTCGAGCTTTCAGTAAGTTTCAATAAGTTGTTTTGATCATAGTACAGTGTCCAGGACGAAGCTCAAAAGTTAACCAAATAACGATGCATCCATTATTAGCTGTCGGCCAACCTGTCAGCTAAGCTCATGCAGATGTGTTACAGGAGGAGAAGGAGAGCGAGAGTGAAGAGGAAGGAGAGGAGAACAGGTCTTCAGATACAACAGCCGCTACAAAAGCTGCTCTGGCGTTAGCCAACATTAAAGTCAGTTCTGCTGCCTTCTTCAGCAAAGCCCAACCTGTGCATTCCAACAGCACAACCAGGTTAGCACAGAACAGTGTTCCGTCTGCACAAATAATTCACAGCTTTACTTTTAACGATACACAACTCAGACTTTGTTCTTTTCCCCAGCTCAGAGCAGAAAACAGCCGGAAAGATCATTCAATTTGGGACAAATATTGATCTCTCTGACCCTAAAAGGTGAGATTATGTCATTAAATGCTGCCCGCTCAAACTGACGTCACTCTGGGGCGGGGGGTCCTCGTTGTTTCACATTACCCATCATATGTCTATTAGGTGGAAGCCTCAGCTGCAGGAGCTGTTGAAGCTGCCGGCTTTCATGCGCGTGGAATCCAGCAACAACATGCTCAGTCACGTCGGTACCACCATCCTGGGCATGAACACTGTCCAGCTCTACATGAAGGTGCCAGGCAGCCGCACGCCAGGTCTGTGTGTGTGTGTGTGTGTGTGTGTGTGTGTGTAAACCACTGATTGATGTTTCAAATGATGTGTTTGAACGAATAAACGGACCGTTTGCGTCTCTTCATTAGGTCATCAAGAGAACAACAATTTCTGCTCCGTCAACATCAATATTGGGCCTGGTGACTGTGAGTGGTTCGCTGTTCATGAGCACTACTGGGACGACATCAACAGATTCTGTGAGAAGTGAGTGAAGAGGCTGTTTGAGAACACATGTGGCAACAAGAAAGGTGCATTTGGTAGAGAGCAGCTCTTCGCCAGGAGCGTCTGCAACAAACATCCGTCTTAAATGCAAGTGTATCAGATGTATTTTGCTTTTTCACACAATGGACACGCTCTCATTTGAATCCATGCAGACGCGTCTTAGCTTAGTCTCACAGGCATAACCACGACTTTAAGTATTTTTTTTTTTATGCTTCAAATCTCTCAAACTTGTGCGTAAACACACCAGCCAAAACAATAAAAGTGAGCAAACTGTTTTCCCCGTTGTGTCTCGCGGTTAATTCAGCAGTCAATGAATGGCAGTATAAAACAGGCAATATTAAGTGTTTTGAAAAAGTGGGAGTCACTGTAACCACAAGAGGTCTTTTAGCATGTAGCCATAGATAAGCACCCAAAATATTATGCAGTTTGGTGCAGCACAATGCAAGATTAGTTGTGTGCAGACACAGAGATGTACACCCACACACTCACTCACTGGCGGAGAAAATAATTAGCTATAGTATCTATGCATGCTGAGTTGCATTGTTGCAAATTGTTTCCCTCAGGCATGGTGTAGACTACCTAACAGGGTCCTGGTGGCCAGTCCTGGAAGACCTCTACGGCTCCAACATTCCGGTGTACCGCTTCATTCAGAGGCCCGGAGACCTGGTGTGGATCAATGCGGGGACTGTGCACTGGGTCCAGGCGGTGGGCTGGTGCAACAACATCGCCTGGAATGTGGGACCACTCAACTGTAAGTTACAGCGAGGACCAAAACATAGGGAAAAAATAAGCAGCTTAAAGCTTGACATGAAGGGGTTTTTCTTTGTGTCAAATTACAACTTAAATATGCTGTTTGTGTTTTTCTTTTGCTCTCCCAGCGTACCAATATCAACTCGCCCTGGAGCGCTATGAGTGGAACGAGGTGAAGAAGGTTAAGTCCATCGTTCCCATGATCCATGTGTCCTGGAATGTGGCACGCACCATCAAGATCACCGACCAGGATACCTACAAGATGATCAAGTAAAATCCCTCTTTGCCTGTATCTGTGTGTGTGTCTGTGTTTACATCTTTCACTATGCACTCCTCTCCCTCCCTCAGACACTGCCTGATGCAGTCCATCAAGCGCATCCAGATTCTGAGACAGCAGCTGGTGGCGGCAGGGAAGAAGATCTCTTACCAGAGTCGTGTGAAGGACGAGCCAGCCTACTACTGCAACGAGTGTGATGTGAGTCCCTCTCTGCCTATACAGGAAGTTGCGCATTTGTGTGCATTTACAATCGCGACATAAACTGCAGTGCCTTATTCTGTGTCTGTGCAGGTGGAGGTGTTTGCTCTCCTGCTTGTGACCAGTGAGAACAGCACCAAGAAGAGCTACGTGGTGCACTGTGAGGACTGTGCTCGAGCTAAGAGCCCATCGCTGGCGGGAGTAGTGGTGCTGGAGCAGTATCGCATGGAGGATCTGATGAGGAGCTACGACACCTTCACGCTGGTCAGTCTCACTTTCTAACCACTAACCGTAATGCCAGAGTACTTTTGAGGAATTCTGAGGCTAGACCAGGTGCAAACAGGACTCCATATTGCTTCATCCGTATCTTTTATCAATAATTTGTCATTATTCTTCAGTCCAAAGGTGCAAGGCTTCAAGCAAAGTGAGAATATATTTCGGATGTGCTAAAAAAAGTCATAAGTAAAATGATTTTGCACACAGCTTTTTCAAGTGGCCAGCTGAGCTCTGTCTCTTCCTCTTTTTCTCTCCCTTTCAGGCTCCATCACCCTCTTCAAAGTGAGGACTCCGTCCTGGTGTCTTTCAGCCATAACCAAAACTCTAATGGCAGCACAAATGTTGTCTTTAAAGGCAATCTATTCCTGCAAACACTCTTTGAATCAGCCAATCTCAGTATTGTTTACATCACACAATAAGGTATGGCTACTCAGCCAATCCAACTATAGAGCTCACTGTCTTCCCCACACCAGCTGCTGATTGGACGTGTGTTTTGAAATAGAATGACTAGACTGGTACTTTTCATGAAAAGCATTTCAGAAATAAATGTGAGCACTGTTGGCACTGAAAATCAGGTTAAATGTTCAACGGACACTGCTGTGATTCAAAAGCGTCAAGTAGCCGGTTCTGTGTTTTTAAATTCAGGTACTTTTATGCAAATTCTGTAGAACTTTTTTAAACCAATCTAGTTATTCTATATGTCCATGAATTTGCTGTGATTCTGTTGTACCAGCAGGGGAATGGCTTCACAGGAGAAGTAGCTGATTGTCACATTTGGCATCGTATTGGTTCCTCTTGGTTTTTCTTTGGTATTCAGGTAAACTCTGACATTTGTAATTCCTGTCTCTATACTCTTTGAGGTGCTATTCCAATCTAATTTATTCCCGTTAGTTAGATACTTACAAAGTATTACCAGCCTATTAGTACACCACATTGGCCTTGCAAACTGTATTTATAGGAGAGGTAATTAGAGGATTAAACACACAAATAATGATCTAAGAACATATTTAAAAAAAAAAAAAAAAGTTTTATCAGTTTCTCTAAAATACGGGTTTACTAGAGGACTAATATGGTTTCATTCTCAGTTGGAAATGAAGTATGTATATGGGAAAAATGAGTGTGCTTTCTATGATACACCCGGAAGACAAACAGTGTGGTTTTTTATTTTTGGAATTGGAAAACAATCCCAGTTTTATACTTTTGGTGCTATGTTCTTGTTTCTAGATGACAGAGGAAATAAGTAATTGTGAATGAATTTATGGGATGGTTGGTGTGCATAGATGGGGAACAAAGGGGATGGAGTGGGGGGGGGGGGGATGATGATATGTCCAAAGAGACACACAATCATAATCTTAGAATGCAAAAGCCAATGAGGCCAAATAGATGACCACACTAAGTGGCGCCTCCAGTGTTTTCATTTTCCCCCAAACATCCTTCCTGATGAGGCTCCATGCACTGCCAGGGGGTTTAATATACTGTACCTCCAGTTGAACATGATGACGAGCACATGAATTAAAACATCACAAGAAAGGCCCAGTTGTTGTTTTTCATTCCCCCCCCCCCCCAACATTTAGCCGGCTCTTTAAAACAATAGGTCTCATTTGGTTGAGACTACGTAGTCTAACCGTTGGCTTTAAATGTTATATGTTATAATGCAAAGGGTGAGGTACAACTAAACTCTTTGCTTCCACTGCACCTATTTCATATCGTTTGAATAGAGGTTCATCATTGCTACTAAAAACATTATGAGATCCCCACATATGGCAACTTTCACATTTTATCCCTGCCCTCATTACTCTGTGCACACCATATATTGTACATAATGTAACTGTTTTCAGGTTCACTAGAAGACTTATGTAGTTTTGCTCTCAATCAAAACTTTAATTTGTATATGGTCAAATATGTCCACCTCAGTCATCTGTTTTTGTTGTTGCTCTATTATAATACACTCTAAAAAATATCCTGTTTCACTCTAGTTTAAATGACTGCAATGGGAATTTCTTCCCACTTTTATACCTCCTTTTTGTTGTCAGTTTCTGTATTTTGGATTACAGAGAAAATGGAAAAAATGTAAATTGTGACATTATTTATACTGTACATTGTGGTTTTCTTACATATTTATTGCATATCAAAGGTTACTTCACTTGTTAAGGGGCTACAAGGTATTTTAAAGATGTAGTATGGTCATAATGTGTGGATAGGGGAAGTGCAATCAGGGGCCGGTATAATTTCCATGGTGCTAGATCCCTCCTTGCCTCGGTGCCCCCCTTGTTAAACATAATACATAAGTCAGTGACACAACTCAAACCTACCGGTTGGTGCTTAGAACCATTTCAACACAGTTTGGTGGTGACAGAAATTGAATGATGTCTTTGTACTGTATCTAACGGATAAATACAAACTCTTTTAAAAACGTTTTGTCCATTTTATGAAATCCATAATCTTGTGAGGCAGTAGTGGTTTTATGATGAGCATTAGTAGTAGTTGTAATTCTTGACACTTTTGCAGACACTTTTAGGGATGTGACTTTTAATGATGTTGAGGTTCTGTTTTTTTGTGTCGTGTCCCCATTATTAGTATTATTTGAAGGATGCTCTTTTTCCTCTTGACTTGTTTGATTTATGCTGCACTTATTGTTAAAAAAACAAAAAAAAAAAAAAAACTGACATAGAAGAAAACCTGAGCCAGACCTGTCTTAAACCCCTCTGTGATTTTTTTTTTTTTTTTAATTTTTTTATTTTTTTTTTCGTGACATATTGTATGGTTGTTCAAGAAAATAAAATGTTTTGATAAATTATTCAACAATGAGTCTTCGCCTTTGATTCACTCTGTTGTTGAATCTGTTGGTATTCAGGCATGCTCTCCTTAAATGTCCAATTAATATGCTTGATACGAATTTGAATCTGTTCTGAGCTCTTGGGGAAGTAGAGGGGATGCAAAGATGGAATCTGAGATTTTTTTTCCTCTCACAATTTCATTGAAAAACCTTTCCTACATGATTCAAAACAATTTTGCATGTGTTCTGAGAAATAAGCCATATTTAACCCCCACTTACTTCAGTACTTGATCGATGTGAAACTGCATTCCTTGTGAAATTAGTTTTGGTCATGGTGTACCACTTTGGTCCAGACTGAAATGTCTCAACAGCTATTATCCATGGTGCCCTCGGGATGAATCTGGATAACTTTGGTGTTTCTCTGACTTCTCCTCTACCACCACCAGCATGTCAGAGTTTTCACTCATTTTGTGAAATATCTCAACATTCAAAACATTTTGTACAGAAATTCATGGTTCCCATTAATCCTAATGACATTGATGATTCCCTGACCTTTCCGCTATAGTGACATGAGGTTGACATTTGTGGTTTTGAGTGAAACGTCTGAACATCTTTGAGATGGATTGCCATAAAAGGTACATTTTTACGATTTTTTTTTGAATATTATAGAGTCAGACTTTCTGTATCTCAATGGCAATAAAACTGAAGTCATATTTTTTTTATGACTTCTTCAACATACTATACTTGGTCTTTTAATTACTTTTTTTTTTTTCATATGTTTTAAATCGTTTTGGACATAGTATACGAAGACTTTTTATCACGTTTTTTCGACATTCTGTGTTTTGACTTTTTCGACATGCTATACTGTATAATATGTGGCCTATGCCAGAGGGCAATGTTGCTCACATAGACATAAAAGAGCAAACAGCAGCCTCTAGTGGCTACAGATACAAAGTCTCAGATGAGAAGCAGTGAATCAGAATCAACATCAGAACCGTTTTATTGCCAAAGTATGTTGCACATACAATGAATTTGAGACGGTGGATGGTGCATAACATTAAACAATCAACACAGTGCAAAATACAAGACGTGATTTAAAAATAGAAACTTATTGAAATTTACAATAAAATATAAAAATATTGAAAGCTACATACAGGTAATTCATTTAGCAGGTGCTGTATAAGATTCATAGTTGAGACTGGTAAAGATGAGCTTAATGTAACAGAATAAATTAGTAAGATAAAGATGTATTTAGAATTTTTCAAGACAAAATGTGATGTTATGTGAAACACATTCTTTGTAATTATATATGTACTATATCCCCTTCAACAACTATATAAAGTTCACAATCTTTAGTAAAAAATCATTTCATTGTCATCAAACTATTTTTTTTAACTTAGCCTTGATGTCTGCAAATACTTTAACGGTCCAATATTAAGGATACTGTAATAATTTCCTCACCATTTATCAATTTATGTTTCACACAGACACAGAAGTGCTGATGTATGCACTGCAGCTCCTACTGTATATATGCATGGGCCAGCAAATAAAATATGAATATGACAGCTTCATTTTATAACATGATTTATATTTAAAATGAGACTGTTTCTAGAGATGGTCCCAGTCTAGACATGCGTACAAATAAATACTTAAGTTGCAATATGTTAAAAACCCGCACAGTGTGAAGTACTGAGCTCATTTTGCACTTTTACCTCATAAAATGGAGTGAGGATTGAAAATAATCTTAATAGAGGAAAGTATTAGGTGGAAGAAAAATGGAGTGAGAGCTACTTAATTGCTGGTCTCTGGCCTTTAGAAAATGTCATAGTTTGAAAATTTGAATATCACAGCTGATCATTAAGTGTAATCCTTTGATTTAGATCCGGGCATGCTGTTACAGAGGAAAACATGTTTTCTCATATTATATATAGGGATACAATGATAATTTAAAAACGGTCATAAATAACAAAGCTCACACTATGATGCAGTCAGTATTTCAAATTGAAGTATTTCTTTATTTTATATTGACCCGACAAACAATTTTGGGGATAAATTTGTTTCTAGAAACAAAACAAAAGAAATACAGAGAAAATGTATTCTGTGTGTGTAACTTAGTTGGACCTTGTTAAACATCAATTACACACCCATTGTGCCGGCCTCGGGAGAACTTGGTACAAGTTAAACAATATGTTTTGATAATTGTTCTATTGTACCCGTTACAATATAAATATCTGGTCAAATGCAGGTTTGAAACTGAAGACTTGAAATTGAGATAGATTTGGTTGATGAATGATAAAAAAAAGATGTACTACATTTGGCTATGTGTGTGCAATGCCATCATATCACATATCTAATAATAATAATAATAGTCACATCTAATGTAATCTTTTCACTTCTTCAAATATCACATTTAAATTTAGGAAACAGCTTTTTCCAGTCCTTATTACAGACAGGCTTCCTGTTGGAGGGTTTGAAATGTGAACTGTTAAAATGTGTTGGATAAAATAGTTATGTTTTAAAAAATTATTGCATTCAAGCTGAGATTTCTGCGGCCTCCAGAGAAAATAAATATGTTTTTGCCGGTAAAGAATCAGTGAATAACACGGCGGAGTTGCTGCTGTTGCAAGGTGTAATCCCTGATTGAGGTGACTTATGCCATCTATGAAACCTGTGGCTCTGGACACTGTTGACCATGGCACCAGTAAAATGAATATTAAAAAGTAAAAATGTAGGCCTGGTTAGGATCTGCAACAATAAAGCTACAATAAAAAAAAAGTGAGCTGATATACTTAAGAAGCTGACTGCACACATATTGTACACTGAGGTGGAATGCATAAAGCATCAGTTCTGAGAAAAAGTGCATTTCTTTGGAAGTATTCAAAAATGAAAAGAAACTGATGGACTCTTCGATGTCATGGAATCTCCCAATGGCACTGGACATGCAGTCACAACGCATCTTGCATGGCACAGCTGAGGACTCTCAGCCTTTTAAATGTTTTAATGAAGAGAGCAGAATTAATAGGTATCCAGTGTCTGTACAGTCCTCGTTGTATTGTCACAGCGTGGCTAGAAGGTCTTCATGTCGTAGAACTTTGTAGGTAAGCCAGTAGAGAACATTAAACATGAGGAAACTCATGGGGAAAAGAGCTCGGGCGATGGTATCAATCCTTTTTGCCCGATCCACAAAGCGCTTGCGGATATCATAGAAACCTAAGCCAGGAGGTAAATCGGCAAAGACCGGTGCATCCATTTCCGGTACACCTCCTGCTGACATTCCAAGTCCAAAACTCTGGAAGAGTAAACCCTGCTGTGCCAGCTCCTCCTCCTGGAAGGAAAAATACAGCACAGCATAACAATCTGCTCTCAAAAGAGAACCACACAGCTTTACTGACGCCAGTGTTAAACAGAACAAGGCGACAGTACATACCCTGGCACAGGCAGTGCACTGCTGGGCTGTGTTGCCATGAGGAGCATTGTTTCCCGACATGTTTTTTCCTTTCACCTTGCTGTCACCGCTTCCCTGCTGATGGAGAAAACGCAACACATAAATGTAATCATCAAACAGACTGCATCACAACCCTGACAAAACTCCTGCGTGATGCATGTGTGTTTCAGATCTTCATCAGCAAGCAATCATCATCAAATGAATACAAGTCTGAAATGAATTTGAAATGAGACAAATTTCAGTGGCACTGCATGATCCCAAACTAATAAATAAATACATATATAAGGATTCAAGCAGATGTTTTTTGTATTGTGTTATAAATGTTACAAGGTATTAATAAATCCTGTAGCTGCTGTCACAACGCTTCATTTAAGAAACACTTTATATGCAAAGCTAGTTTGGCCGACTTTTTCCTCCCTTGTTTTTCTCTCCACATGTGAGGCAGCAAGATGTTGAGAACAATAGAACAAGATGATGGCTTGAATTTGTTACAGGTCAGTGCTGTTCTGCATTTCCCGGCTGGAGTGCAACACACACACACAGCTGAGTTGCGGTGCTCGTGCATTGGGATCTAGGGAATAGCAGGTGACAGTCGCCCGAGGGGCTGAGTGGGTTGGTTGCACTCACGGTTCTCTGCCGGTGTTGCTCTTTGAGCTTCTTCCTCAGTCTGAAGAACTCCTTGTGCTGCCGTGAAACAAAATTAACGGCTGCATACTCCAGCAGTGCAGCAAACACGAAAAGAAGACACACGGCCATCCAGATGTCTATGGCTTTCACGTAGGACACCTGTGACACAGTGAGAATGAAATCAGTGAAACCACTCGGTCAACATTAGTGTTCATGCCATGTTAGGCAGTGACATGAAAGACATGGAATTAAAAACTCTGCGTCAACAGCAACATATTACATTAAGTTTTACTTTATTTAACAACTACATTGAACAAAACCACACTGTATATACAAGGTATGTCAAAAAAGGAAGGCCTAGTATGAAATGTCAGTAAAAATGGAAAAAAAGTCATGGTATATTATGTTTTTATAATGTAATAAAGTGATAGTACAGTATGCTGTAAAAAGTAAACAAATATCATAGTATGTCCCAAAACGTATGCCGTAAACAGTCATGAAAAAGTCATAGTATAGTACGTCCATGTTTTAGTGTCAAATGTCAGAAAAATAGTCATAGCTGTTAAAAGGTCATTAAATATTCATGGTATAGCACTCCCTAAAAAGGTAATAATATAGTATGTCATGAATAAGTAATACAAAAAATATATTATAGTATGCCATAAAAAATGTCATAGTATGGAATGTGGTTAAAATGTCACTAAAAAGCCAATGTATAGTATGCCATCAAAAGAAGTATTTAAGTATTTCGTAAGGAGTCATGAGTCGAAGTGCAGTAAGCCATGGAAAAAAAAAAGTAATATTACAGTCTGTCAAAAATGTTGTAGAAATGTCATAAAATAATACGTCATAAAAGTCATAACAAATGTCATAGTATAGTGCGTTGGAAAAATGTCGTAAAAAATTCATAGTATAGTATAAATGTCATAATAAATCATAGTACTGTACTGTATGTCGTGAAAATGTGAGAAAAAGTAATTGTAGAGTAAGCTAGAAAAGAATCATAGTACAGTGTGTCCTAAAAGTGTCCGTAAAATCTACAGTATAGTATTTCTTACATAAGTCATAGTATAGTATGTTGAAAAGTCATAACAAAGTCAAAGTATAGTATGTCGAAAAAAGTAGAAAAAAGTCATAGTATAGTATGTCGAAAAAAGTAGAAAAAAGTCATAGTATAGTATGTCGAAAAAAGTAGAAAAAAGTCATAGTATAGTATGTCGAAAAAAAGCCATAAAAAAAACAACAGGCCGCACAAATGTCAACGGCTGTGAAAGAGGTCGTTTCATTTCACACCACTAGTGAGACATTGGTTGAGCTACCTCACTAGGTGCATAAGGTTGCCTACCCTTGTTACAGTATGTTGTAAATAACATCATAAAAAAGTCACGGCAGAACAGCATAGTATGACAAAAAGTATACTATACAGACCATCTAGTGATGGGATCACACCAGCCGCAATGCCAGATTGGGCCAGGGGCACAAAGAGGCGCATTTTCTCAGAGCACACCCGTCTTGGAACTCAAACTCACTGTTGTGGCCGGTAAGAGTGACTGACTTGTATGTCTTACTGTAAAGTGTCACAAACCGTGACTTACCTTTGGCAGGGAGGCCCTGGAGCCAGAGCTCTGTGTCGTCATGGTGAGCACCGTGGTGATCCCCAGTCCCACTCTGGCCGGAGCCGCGTCCATGTTGATCCAGAACGACACCCAGGACAGGATGACGGTGAGCAGGCTCGGTATGTACATCTGGATCAGGTAGTAGCCCATTTGACGCTCCAGGTAGAATTTGACCTCAATGCAGGTGAATTTACCTAACCACAGGAGGAGATACGGGTGCAAACTGACAGTCTTATTAGAAGTTTATTGACAGTATCTATCAAGGATGTTCCTTGGCAGGTCGTCGTGTACCTGTGTTGTAGTGCTTGGTGCAGTAGCCGAGGCCTTTCTCCTCTTTCAGCACAAACTGAGGGAGCGTCAGATCATCGGCCACCTGCACTGCTCCCACATCCAGCCATTCAAAAATGAGATCATTCATGGTGTAGCCAACTAGAAGAAAGACAGAGAGAAGGTGTACTGTACGCGATGAGAACAACATCCGTTTGTAGCGTTTTCAAGCCTGCCTTCAAAGATTAACTCACAGCTTTCGAGCTGCATTGTACACGTCTGGCTGTCCATGGGGAAGTTTTTCAGATCCATGGGACAGGAAAGGGTAAGCGTCAGCCTGGAACACAGAGACAGCAACACCATAAAGGAATGGGGTGTTTAATGATAAAGTCATACCCTCACACACCAACTCATGAGTGGAGAAACCTACAGCACCGTCTCCTGCTTATGTGTCACTGAACCCCATCGAGCAGCTCTACCTATCTGACAACAATCCAATTGGCTTTTTGTAACCAGTGTGATGCTAACTTCCAGATTGTCCTGCAAAAATACGTCATCCCTGCATCACTCTATTCTCTGAGTTTCTGTTGCAGACACTGCTTTTATTTTTGTTGAAACATAATGTCTTTCGCTGCTCATTTTTAAGGACCCCTCTTCTCTTTATTCCAGCAAGGACAAAGTTAAGAATCTCACACAAATGAGAGATACTGCGGATGCAAATGATCTTGATTCAGTGTCATCCACTAGATATAGTGGCTAGCTATCTGTGCGTAAGTGAATGAGGGCATACATCTTTTTGTTGTTGTTGTTTCTAACTTTAGGACCCTGTTTTTTAAAAATAGTTGTGTTGGTTGCTAGCTGTAACTCTTGGCACTTCCAGTGTGATCCCCTTAGTTTTAGGGGGTTACTTTTAAGGTTCCGTGACCAGAGAAGCAACCGATCATTTAGTTCATGCTTAACATATTTGCTAATACGGCTTTACATTGCTTCATCTTGCTTATATTGTAATGAAAACCATTACGCTACAATTCCCCCCTGCTTTAGTGCCACACTGCTGACCTGATTCTGTCTTAGCCTGCAGTTATTATTTTCAGTGGGTGTTGGACAATACAGTGACAACTGAACTGAACTGGAGTGAAACAAACATGTTGCAGGACCGTATACTCAGAGGTTAAGACTACAACTCATAGAGCTAGAAGTTCATCTTCAGTTAGCAACGTGACAAACCATGGAACTGGATTTGTAATGTCTGATAGAGGTACATCTTGGTGCATTATTTAGCAAAATTAGCACTTAAAAAAAAAAAAACAGATCACCTGATGCTGTAGAGGACATTTCCATTCTGGAATATACGAAGCAGTTTGTTGTCTGTTGTAACCTCGTGAAAGCTTGCTCCCTTTTCATTTGCAAAGAACAGGTCAGGTTTCCAAATGGAGTCCAACATAGAGGGGTCCAGGTCCAGAGAGTCATCCGGGTACTCTTTATATGCCAGTCGAGGGTCACTCCACTGCTGTCGCAGAAATACATTGAGCCGGTAGTCCTAAAGTTTGGAGTTAAGTCGTAATTGAAAGTTAGAATAGTTATAAACAAAATATATAGCCACAAGTGGCAATTGTGCCATGGTAGATATCATAATGAGATGTTAGAAGTACGGTGGTCCTGAGAGAGCTCAACGCACTGCAAATGAACAAACCACAAGCGAATGGACAAGGTGTCCTTTCGAGAAACCTTGAGATGGCCAAGATCACCTAAACAGCAATAAATGACATCGCAAGAGACGCATGAACCCGCAGCGTGTCCCAGCAGGCGAGGAGCAGCGTGCGAGCGCACGAACTCTGTGTGACCAAAAATAAATAAATAAATAAACACTGACAAAGAGACTTGAGTGCTCATAACCTGAATGACAGAAAACTCCACTTACAATTTCATCACTTAAAATGTGATGGCTCTCTCCCTAGAGGTATTTTCAAAAAAAAAACATGTCCAACTCTAAATACTTACCATGGGCTGCATAAATAAAGGATTCCCCTTATTTAACCGAGACAGAGAGATGAGAAAATCATAGCTGATCTTAAGTAATGAACTTACAAAATGGTGTTTGCAGTCATCAATTAGTCATAATCTAACAACAGTATGTTTGGGCATCATGAGTAGTGCTTCCAAACAGAGAGAGAAGCGCCAAAAACACTTCCAATCATTGACCACCAAAGGGTCCGATGCGTCCGATAAATGTGCTTACTTTTTACTTTCTTTTTACTACCACTACATTCATTTGACAGCTTTAGTTATTAGTTACTTTCCAGATTCATATTATTGTTGATTGTATTATTACAAAATGTAATCAACAAATACATGATGATACATGATTGTGGATAGAGCTACCCAGCCAGCAGTATATAAGGTAGTTTAAATCAGCCATATCTTTCCTGCTGCACCATAAGTGATGTTTATGCATGGATGCATCAATTATAATCTAATCATATAGAAACGAAATGGGCCGTTCTAATTGCTACTTTTACTTTTGTTACTTTAAGTATGTTGTGATGCTAATACTTATGTACTTTCACTGAAGTAAAATATTGAATGCAAGATATAGTCGTAACAGAGTATGTTTACACTGCTGTATTGCTATTTTTTTATGAAGTCGTAATCTGTATTTCTACTTTTTTAGTGAAAGAATAGCAAAGTAAAAGATGTGAGTACTTCTTCAACCACTGGTGAGACATGATACTCAACTTCTGTGACAGGAATCAGTTGCACACAATAAATACAACAACCTGTCACAAAATAACAATAACATGAAAATGATATTGGACGATAATATAACTATGAAACTGTCTACTACAGACACCTGAATACTTTTTGAGGCATCGTTTTTACAGTATTTTCTGACAAAGTCCTTGCAGGGTACCGGTTTAAACCTAACTTTCCCTTGCCACCACCATAGTCAGAAGGTGTAAGCGGTTACGTGAAAGAACAGGTCGACTTCATCTAAAACCTGATTGTAGAAAACCTGTGAAAGTGTGAAGCTTTTACTTTACTAATGTCCATATCATAAGACTAAATTTGATATCTTTCAGATAATTGTAATGTATATTAGCCTGAGGACCTGAAATGCGACTTGTAGCCACATTTGTTGCTGAATTGTTTGCATATGATGCAGCGACACCTTAAAGTCACAGTGCAGACAAACAGTCAAAAGATGTGTTATATTCTTCACACTGTATTTAGACAGTCAAAGTTTGACATCCAACAACCAGATGTTAAATGCAGATGTTCACATTCTTACCATAGTTGTTTCAGTGATGGATCCGAAGCTGTTGATGAAGATGTTGCAGGTGACATTGACAGGAGGACCTGGCAGAACACACATCATAGTCACAGTGGATTCTATGTGATCTGAGGGGATCACATGACGTATTGAAGCCAGTAAAGAGCAGAAACAAAATGACATCTGCTTGCCCTCTTCGTAACGTGCCACGCTCTGTCCTGATGAACAGACGTATTAATAAAGATAACCAGCATGTGATTGAGTTGTCATTTCCAGTATTGTCCTTCTGTCGACCACCGGAACTTTAAATATTTCAGGGTTTCCTTAGAGGCAATAATTTATTGATTCTCCTTTAGTTACATTAGTGTATTTAAAGATAATCACACGTGATTTACCTAGCATGCACTGACAAAGATGTTGAGCAAGAATGAAATATATATGGAATGCGACCACAGAGACTGAGGGAGGAGTATGTAGGAGAGTGTCTGCTGGCTTCACTCAGATCAAGATTGGACTGAAATGGGCTGAAATGGGCCTGTGGGGTAAGTGCACATTTCTGACAAATATGAAAGAGAAGTCCGTGTATAAACATCATAACCTACGGCTGTGGGTCGGCATAAAAAACGGTAACAACGCGTTACAAAAAGGCTTCCTGTGTGAAAACATCATAGCCTGCAGGACCTCTTACTTCTGACCCATCTGTGAATGATTTGTGCTACTTCAATGCCCAAATTGGTATGCAAATCGCACTTTCCCCACACCTGTCCTGACCGAGGAGATCCTCCCACTGCACACCACAGTGTGTGTTTACCTTTGAAGTTTGGTCTGATGCGAGCGTCATAGCCAGATGTGCGTCCCATCAGCTTGTCCAGAAAGTCAGATGGAGAGGGGGGGTTAGCTGCCCTGCTGGGGAGCTTCGTCTCCTTACAGAGCACAGACCTGCCAGGTGACAGGACAGTCTACACTGGATGCACTGATATTCTCTTCATGCAATATTTAAAACCTCCAATTCCTCTTCAGGAAAGCGTTTATGTAATTTGTACTAAAGGTTTACAATAAATATCGTTTTAGCTGGAAAGGTGTTTTACTGGTTGGCAACACATTTTGCCATTTAAAAGGCGACATATACAGAGTATACATAACAGGATTCAGATTAGATGTATTTAACCATTTAGTATTTAACATTTTTATACAAAGACACAGTTCAAATTATACAGGAAATTACTTTGGCACACATCTTGTTACCTTAAATCAAACACAAGCTTCTTTTCTTTTGTTGAATCAATCCTGCATCTCATATTAATGCACACTTTCACTTAATTGGTTTAATTTAATTATAGATGAAACATATTTAATGCATCCAATTCCAAGAGAACAGTCACGCTGATGTGCCCTTTGGTCAAAGAACCACAGAGATCATCTAATGTCTTACATTATACATTTCAAATCTTTTTAAATTAATAAAAGAAATTGACATTTTCAAACAAACATGCATTTACAAGACATTACAATGGCCAAACAGCAAATTACAGATTTCTCCAAGAAATAGTACAAACTTGAAATAGTCTCTTACCTGCCTTGAAGAAACATGACAGATGACGTCCACAGCATACACGCGATGTGGAATAGCATTCTTAGTTAGTAGAAAAACAACATGTAATATACCAATGGAGGGAGGAAGAAGTGGAAAAGAAAAGAAAAGCAGAGATGCAGGAAACTTGTTGTTGCTCCTCCAGCCAGGCTCTGTCTTGTGGACTCAGCGGAGCCTCCCTCCCTCTCTGTAAGTGTAAAATACAGGAAGCTGCTGCTGTATTATTCAAAATGCCTGTGTGGACGACTTCAAGCTTCATCTCTTTTTTATGGCCATATGCATGTTCAAAGAATTACTGCAAGAATTTAAAGAGACACGACCGTTTCCAAAGCAGAGTGGCCCACACTGCTCTTCCTCATGGCATCAGATTAGCAGTGGTATTTACTTTCTGCTGAAAATAGACATATTCAAATAAATATGTTAAGACAAAAAAATACATTCTTAAATAAGGCATCATGTTTTCAAATCCATTAAGAATTTCAACCACTCTTTCACTGCCGGTAAAGATGTTTTTGACCCTAAAATTAGAACATTCACAGAAATTTAAGTGACAGCGATAGCTTCCACGTTGGCCGTTTTGTTGCAAAAAAAAAAAGAAAGAAAGAAAGCCATTACTACCAGTATATGATGTCCAATAGAGTAAATGTGTTTCCCATCTTTAAGAGAGATCTGATCATTTAAATCTAAACCGAATTGCCTAAAATGGTGAGCAATCCTACAAGACTGCAGATTGAAGACAAAGGATAGAAGCAGACGGGTGAAACACAAGACTGTTGCATTCAAGAAGGAAACGAATCTCCCATTTATTCAAGTGTAACATGTTTGTGTCAGTGTCAGTATACACATCCCAGAGGTTATTTATCTTTAGCAGAGCCGTCCAACGTTTCTGGTCGAATTACTTCATCTTCAAAATCGCCAAGCAAATTCAAATATAAATGTGGAAGCTCATGTTTATTCCTCCACACAGAGCGGGGAGGCAGTTCAGCCATTTACCCATGCAAAATTGATGTCAAAGAAAGCGATGGGACGTTATGGCTGCACGTGTTCTGCCTCACTCGAAAAAAAAAAGGCCGTGCCACACATCGCTCCGGAGCCCACAGTGTCAAGTAGGATAAGAAATGTGTGAGAATACAGAACATGAACGCAATCCTAATAACAAGAAGCCCACAGCAGAAGGAAAAAAAACCCATTGCTTCTGCATGCTTGAACATTTTTACCTCCGGACAGGATTAAGTAGGCCAAGCTTCATCTTAATGTTGTTCTTGTTGGAGTGCACATTGACTCTGCTTAATTTGATCGTACTTGTACACACTGTAAAGTGTACTTGTCAGATGCCCTTTATACAAGCCTGCCTGTGCCCAGTGCTTTTAGCTGAGGTTAGACCTGTAACATACCTCATTTAAAAAAAAAAAAGAAAAAAAAAAAAAAAAAAAAAAAAAAAGGTCCAACGACTGTAGATCGCATGTATGAGCGAAGCAGTGCACAGTGACTGGAACGCTTCGGGACAGATGAGCTCAACCACACAAGACTTTAACAACCATCACAGCTCAGAATGGAGGTCAGGATACATGTCGTCATCAGTGATAATATCTGGGAGCAAAAATGATAATAATTGGATCACTCCCACTTTTAAAAATAGCCTTTATTGCAGCTTCTCTCACGACAAGCTGCTCTGATCACAGAGGAAAACAATAATCCACGCTCAGCACGTTTTTCAGCCTGGTGTGGACAAGCAGAAGGATGATCACATCTGGACTGTGATTTTCAAAAACACGAGCAAAACGGTGGATGAGACAAGCGAGACAAGTTTTCCTAGATGGACAACAAAAAAAAGAAACAAACGAAACAGGTGCAGCAGATACAAACTCCAAATTTGAAAAATATCTCAGACATCATTTACATGAATCCTCCTGTTTTGTGTGTATGATCAGTTGCGTCTTAAACACAAAGGCTGCCAGAGTTCAGTCCTCACATGAAGCTCCGCTCTCATAATAAGTGCCGGCCGCCGCCACCTTAATCGTCATGGATGTTGAACAGTTTGGCCACTTCATTCAGATCTGCGTGTTCCTCTCCATCCTTGATAATCTACAAAAAAACATTTACAATAACCAAATCTATATTTTACATCCTTACTTTGAAACAAACTCTTTTTCCCTACGGAGTCACGTACCTTCCTCGCGATGGGCATCCTGTTGAACACGTTCCACAGGATGATGCCCACCACCACTTTGTCTCTCAGGTAGAAGATGACTCCTTTTCCGTACTCGTCTTTCTGCTGCACCATGGCGGGAGCAGACGTCGAAGAGGCCACTGCGCTGGTAGCCGTGTCCTCGGTTTCACTCTCTGACCGGATCCCAGTTCCTGCAATAAATGGAACACGGAAGACTAAATCTGAGCCTCGGTCCTCAAATTCGCCGTTTATTTTTTGCTTTGTAGGATAAAAGAATGTCATTAGTACCTGACTTCTCAGTAGCAGCTCTGGGTGTATCCTTGGCTGTGGCTTTGGCAAACACTCCTACTGTTGGTAGGCTGCTGTCAACGATCCCAATAGCCTCGTAGCCGACATCAGGTCCCAGGTCACTCCTGTGAGACACCATGAGATTAGAGATTAGAAAGCATGTTGAGGGAATAATTACATTCAAGGCTCTCAGAGCAAGAAGCTTTCTTTCTTCACTGATTTCTATTTCCACTGATTTACAAGAGCTTCTAGTGCAAAATGGAATTAAAGAATAACTTCTAAAACATACTTTATTTCAAACCAATGGCTTTTTCCCCCACATCCTAATGAAATTGTTAATGGATTTAAGCCGATATTGATCTCTATAAAACAGATATCTGCATAGGATTACAGGATCTGTAGGCAACGGGACAAGATTTTGGTATCTGAAGTGGTCTGGATTCAGTTTGTGGTCCGAGTAGTATTGACCAATCACAGGCTTTGGTGCCATGCAGTTAAACAGTCCATGTTGAGAGCAAAAGAGGTGGAATGCATCGGCCAAAACACAATCTCGAAAACCCATCGCCTATCGTCTGATGACGATTTAGTTTATTTACTTTTTATTATTTATTTATCTGAATTCAAAATTCTGTTGAAAGTAGTTTGCTGAAGTTTATCCTCCAATGTGAAGTGCAGCAACTTCTGCATAACATCGTGTGTGTGTGTGCACCTCACACACAAATACACACAAAACAAACAAGGCCGAGAGGGCACTTGCTAGTTGTGAACGCCAGTGACCCCCACCCCCTCCGATGAGTGTCAAGCTGAAGTGATGTCACAGTGGAATGACCTTAACAAACGACATGCTGTGGTAGTCCTGCCCAGAGAGCTTGTACACCTTGTGTGGCATCACTTAGAAACATACAAATCAGGATTCTTTTGGAAACGTGTTGGACCTTTTTCAGTGTTACTGTTGAAGGCTTTTAGTAAGACAGTAGCAGCTGCTAGCAGCACTTGAAACTATTAAAGTAAAAGTAAATTAATCGTGACTTTTACCATTTGAAATATGTTTGATGTATGTGTATATATGCAGTATTAGCTTAACACGGTTTGTTTGGTACTGCGTGTCACACTCGGACAAGTCTTGTTCTGAAATCTCGCGTCGCATCAACATTATGTCAAAATCAGCAAAGTATTCAGCCATGACACTGAAAATCAGTCTGCTGTGTGTGTACTTCTGTTGTTTTCCCATACAGTTTCTGACCACAGAGATGCACTCAGCTGTGTTTTCACTTGCGGCCCCTACCGTCCTGTGGCTGGTTAAGGGTAGTTAGTGACGAGTCAGCAAGCGGTCAATATCAGCATAAAACCGCCAATAACGGGTCCTTGAGCATGATGCGGCCATAACTGGCCACCCATAATATGGTGGGCCGTCAGGGCCAGCTAAGCCTTCTCTGCTGGCCTAAACAGAATCTCAAAGTTATAGCTATTTTATAATTTAACAATAATAAAGATTCAGCCCCTATTTCTCTATGCTATGCTATCCTGAGGACATCATAGCAAAGCCGGCCGGCGAACGGCGAAAGCCGGCCCCAGCAATATTTTGTTATTGTTCCGGGTTCAAAAGGTCACACATCCCGTTGTCTGTTACGTGAGCGCAGTCCACCGAAAACATTATATTTCCCACAATTTAAGCTTCTGCATTTTCCAAATGCACTAGTATTATTCAAACGTATTGTTCGGTTCGTAAGCCTCGTACCAAACGGTTTAATACGAATATGTGTATTGTTACACCAATAGAAACAAATAACCGTAGCTCAGTAGGACAGCACAGTAGGCCCAGGTATAAAATGCACAGCCCGCCACTGCCTTTCGATAATGTTGACACCTATTAGAACAATCTGAGACAATCGGTGGCAAAAACAAAGACTGTTAGTGGACCTAAATTGACGGTGCGCAATTGCCCAATAGGATTATATTGCAGCCAGTGATCGGCTGCAGCATTTTCGCTCAATACTGGAAATACTGTTGAAAAATACAGAAGCTACCCCTTAAATATAAAACAAATGGACGACCTCAAAACGAACTAAGTGACCAGTGCTGCCGAATTATGATATAGCAACATATCATCTGAGTCACAATAGTTTGTCTCCTGTGTTTGTTTGTTTGCAATGAAGCCATGTTGACAGCAGTGGGCCGTATTTCACCAGCTGTTAAAAACAAGCAGACACCGCATTCATCTGTGTAATGCGGGCCGCATGCCACACGCTGGTTGAAGTTTTTTGGCAAGGCCCTGAATATCTGGTCGAGTGATGTTTTTGAAAGAGTTATTAAACGTATGACGGACTTGAAGAACGCAGCCCTCTGCTGGAAACTCCTGCCCTAATGTCCTCTAAAGGCAGTTCAAATATTTTAGAACTTAATGGCATTCAAGACTACAACGCAATCATGCATGCACCTCTGGATTCTAAAAGGATTCAATCTGAGTCATTTTGCAGGATTGTACATGCTGCCCCAGTGCCCACTTATTTAAATGTAGTCGATGAATGTGGACCTGTGCGATCAACAATTCAGACTGTCCGTCGCTTTCACAAACATGTTCCCTTCATTTCCACTTTAAGCTGGCTCAATAGCTTGCGGCTCTCATTTGCCAAACGGTTTGAATTTGTGACGCATGAAAACCTTGAATTAGCATCACAAGCAGGAAACAGGAAGTACCCCCAAGTACCCACCAGAACATGGACTGATGCCAGTAGGGTTTGTTGGCTCCCGTCATGTTCTCTCCCGCTAGCCTTCCGCTCACGACGGCGTGATCGTGGTGCTCCACTCGTCTGCGGCCCAGTCGGATGTCATAGAAGCACGCAGCATCTCCTGCCTGGATCCACACAGAAGGGATCGAGGATGGATTAACATGTCTAACTACACTACGCCATATTACAAGTCTACAGGTGCATTGCTTCTGGACCAGGACCCGGGTTTACCTCAAGGGGGCATTAGAATAAAAGATATGACTGAAAGAACAAGCTTTCATAAACATACATTTATGAAAGCTCGTATGCGGCTCACCTCGACCAGTCAACATTGTAATACTTTTTTAATCAACTCATTAAAAGTTGGTTGCCATGTTTACATGAATATAAGTTTGTCCTATTGGAATAACAAGGGTGAGTCACATCACCAAGAACCGTCGACTCAATGAAAGTTCTGCCACAACTAGTGACAAATTTCCCTAAATTAAGAACATATGCACTTTCATTTCCAAAGCCTGTTTCAGCACGGCATGAACCCGTTGACTGTTGTTGGAACATATCCACTACCTCATGAACATGAACCTACCACCCAAATATTGGATCTGGCTTGCAGCTCTGCATTGACTCGAAAGCCACCGAAGTCAGAGTCCACCTCCAGACCTGCTGACTTGGCAAGGTCGACATTGGGCTCCAGGCCAACGGCTGCAACAATGTGGTCCGTTTTCACCTACGAGGCACAAGATAAATCAATCACTAACGAGTCATTTCCTGAATCGCACTTGAGAAAAGAAACGTGGACCTACCAATCGGCCATCCTTCAGTTGGATTTCTAATTTGTCATCCTTGCACACCACAGATTTCACCAGCGCTTCAGAGATAACTTTCACACCCTCTGGAAGACAAAATTAAGAATATGTAATAAACGAAGAAATGAGATAAAAAAAAAAAAAACTCCTTCGAGGGATGTTCAGCTAGATATGAAAGTTCAGACGTGTTAGAGCTCATTAACCTCTCTTGACTTTTTCTGTCGTCCAGTTGCTCAGATACTCGGGCAACACTTTCCCCATGTTGCCCTTCTCAGGGAACATCTGTATCACCTCCAGGTCACACTCAGTTGCTGAAAAAGAAAAGGAGAAAGAGGCTGAGCATTATTCTGTTAAAGTAGTATCATCTATTCTTCATTCTCTCATCTGGTCCAGTAGTCTTACATCTCCTGCCGAGGGCACAGGCCAGCTCGCTGCCCAGGAAGCCGCCCCCAATGATTGTGATGGACTTGACGTTTCTGGAGACCTTATCTAAGGATTTGAAGTCCTCGACCTGTGGAGGGAAACAACATTTAAATCAAATTGACTCTTTTTGTTAAGGTAGTGATACGTCACACATTGAAATGGCCACATGAGTGTGGTGACTTGTCTGTGCAACAATGAAGGGATTGTGATGAATGAATCATAAGGACAGTGAACCAACAAAAGTAAACATTGCACACATTTAATACCATTGGAGTTACTGCAAAGTAACGTGTTGTTTTTATGATTTTAGCATAAAAGGTAAACTTTGCATTTTTGAGACAAAGCTTTGCAATTCTGACCTATTCCAGAGAGGTGGGATGAACATTCAGAAAGCTTGTATAACTTAACCAAACAACTTTTTCCAGAGTCAAAAATATTGTCATCTAAATATCTCCATGATGTCACACCTTTACTCTTCCAGGGCTTTGTACTAACAGCCAGAAATTCCAAAACATAAAGAAGGCCATCGCCCCCTTGTGGCTAAACACTGACCTTGCGGAACAACGTGGTCTTCTTCATCACCTCCTCTCCGGCTCTTTCAATGACCTGTAGATTTCTTGGCGCACCACCTGAAAGCAAACCGTTCAAATCAGCTTCCACCGAGTTTAAACCACACACGGCAACACACGCATCTCAAGGAGGCTTACCTGTAGCAATCAAACACTTGTCGTAGGAAATCTCAGTGTCATCGTCAAGCGTTATTTTGTTACCCCTCACATCCATGTGAACCACCTAAAACGGATTAAATAATGTACTGTTGTCAAACATCTCAATACAGTCAAAAAGTATATTTACATCAGCCAATGAAATTCCTCACTTCTGGTATATGAATACTACTATTGTTTACAGTGCATAATCAGGACATCAGCACATTGTGGCGTCTAAACCAACCTTTCTGCCGGAGAGAACTGCCACTCCACCGTTTTCTGCACCATCCAATTCTTCTGCATTAATGTAGAATGATGGCGGCTGGAAGTAGATACTGACGAATAAACACAAAAGTATTACAAATCTTTCAACATTTTTCTTACAAAATGAAAAACAGCAACAGAACCTATCATTTTGTAATGAAGCAAATAAAGAGATGTCACAGGACAACTGTCTAACTCAATGTAATGACCACTTATCCTAGCAGAGAGACAACTGTTGAGACACATTGTAAGAAAGGCACCGAGAGACAGAAAGAGTTGAATAAACCAGAAGCACAGTACATGAAGCTAAACACACCTCCTTTCCTTTCCATTCCACTGTTTGAAGCGCAGTGTTTCCGTCACACTGGGATCGTCAGAGAACCACAGTTCCTTAGAAAGAGGCGGCCTCATGTATGGAGGGACTAGCTCATCAGTCACAATCAACACCTGGTAGCAACAAGTCAAAGAAAGGCAGATGCAGTACGTGAGGACGACACACGAATGTAACAGAGAAAGTCAAGGTGCAGCAAGATGGATGATGCACTGAATGCTGACCTTGGCACCAGGGTCTCTGGCTCGAATGGACCGGGCCGCAGCGAAAGAGGCGGTGCCTCCACCGATAAGGAGGTAGGGTGTGTGTGAGGGGAGCTTGAGAGAGGCAGGTGAGGAGTCTCCTGGAGTTTGTATGAGAGAGCGACAGCAAGCCAGAGAGTGTGAGAGTAAAAGAGAGACAGAGAAAGAGAGACAGAGAGTGAGAGTAAAAGAGAGACAGAGACAGAGAAAGAGAGACAGAGAGAGAGAGACAGAGAGTGAGAGTAAAAGAGAGACAGAGACAGAGAAAGAGAGACAGAGAAAGAGAGACAGAGAGTGAGAGTAAAAGAGAGACAGAGACAGAGAAAGAGAGAGAAAGGCAAAAAGCAGGAGAAAGAGACAAAGTCAGTGCATGATCTTGGATGCTCATCAGCACCCATGACTTACACAAACACACCTGAAAGGAGGAAATGGAAAAAGAAATGACATCTTTCATGCGAGTGAGATTAACCATTATCATTACCCGAACCCAAACAATGTGATAAAGACATAAAAAGGCGGGAAAGCTGTAATGAGGAAAAAAATTAAAAATTATTAATAGAAAAAAAAAGGAGAAACGGTGTTTGAAATTAACAAAATGGGAAAAAGTATCGGTGTGGGCCCGCCTCTCCTCTCCAGCCGAGGCTGGACTCTGGTCTTACCACTCTCTGCCACAACCTCCGGCTGAGGCTCGGTTGGCTCTGCTGAGGGGCTTTCTGCTGCTGCTGCAGGTTCTGTTAGAACCGGAGTTAGACCAGTTATGACACATTAAACCCTCGGATGTGGTAAATGTACATCGCCATGCACGGACTGAGTGCTTACCACTCTCCGCAACAGGTGCAGGGGCCGGCTCTGTGAGCTCAGCTGGGGACGGCTCAGAGGGGGCTGGTGGTTCTGGTAGTATAGTGGTAAAAGTTACAAGTTAACCTTGGAAGTGCACTACAATTGAATGAGTGAATGAATTAGATCAGAGTATCCTTTCTTCTCAAACCTTACCCTCCTCAACCACAGCTGCAGCAGGTGGTTCTGCTGCCTCCTCTGGGGAAGCTTCTACCACCGGCTCAGCTGCTGTTGAGGGAATCCAAACTACGGGTTTAGTTAGAACTCTTGAAGAGATTATCTAAGGGGAGGATAATCAGGATCCATGCATTTCCTCGGCTTCACTTTAGGAACATTCTGCGGAGCATGCAAACTAAACACAAGAACACGTGGAAGCTGCCCAAATGATGCGTAACATCTGCAGAGACATACATACTGTACACCAGCTGAGCGTAGTGTTGTAAACTCATTTTTACTCGCGCTTGTGTTATCACACTGATATTCACCAGGGACCGTTCAGTTTGAAGACTTCCTATGAAACAGCTGTGAAGACTTTGTGTATCTTAGTTTGAAGTTAAGAAATCAAATTCACTTCAAAAGGGCAGCTTCCAGTTATGAACAATAATATCATATTAGTGGAAAATAAACATCTTGAGTGCTATGACAGGACAAAGTTTCACAAAGTTTGACAAACTCAGAAAATGTCAAAAACCATGCTAGGTCACAAATATGACAAAGCACACCAGGAGCCAAGATATTTGGAGGAAACAGTGACGACTCCAACGACTGTGGAGCTACAACAGGAACATTTGGAATTCAGGGTGGAAGTGAGTGTGCGAGTGTCCACAGTTGTACTGAAACTGGAAAAGGTTAATGTAGGTTAGAGGACGCAAAATAAATGGAACGTATACAGAACACACGGAGCGCGACACGCGCATCACCAAATACCAGACGGTGAAGGAAAAACGAACGCATGCAACAAGAGGAGAAAGTCACAGTTTATGCAGTAAAAAGCTTCTGGAGATAAACAATACAAGTTCTGATTCCAGAGGGCCTCGTGTGTAAAACATGCCATCACCATGAAAGTGCATCTTTAACATATTACATATGTGGGACAACTGTGAGCAAAGAGTGTAATGAGGCAAGAAAAGACAGGTTTTTGTTCATATTCTAGATTTTGTTCAAACCACATGTATGTGCTGTTTGAGACCAAAATAAATCATTGAGAATTGCATATGTTATTGCCATTGCCTGTGAATTTTGTCATTTTTGATGTTCCCCCCCCCCCCCCCCCAAAAACAAATTCCTTCGTGGTGGGGAAATGACAAAAATTACTGTGGCAAAAAAAGTGTGCACTTCTTAAAATTCAGCCAAAATATTTGACAGAACTTAAAGAGCACATACATAATCTGAAATGTAAACAAAAACCTTTGTCTGATTCGACACAGGTGTGTTTTGCAGCCTGCTTTTTTTGCACTAACCTGAGTTTACCACTTGGCGTCACCATTTCTGACACCTCACTTCTCTTTCAAGTATAGTGTGTGTGTACAAAGTGGGACAGTACACATAATTCCAGATCAAATACGCTTTGAAGTTATTTTTTTCCTCTCACTTTTTGGTTCAAGCACACGGTTTATACAGGAGGCACATGTTATGCATGCATGTATAGAAAAGTATGTAGACAACCTGGGGGGGGTTCAGTTGTTTCAACGGGGGCCAGTACTTCAGCATCGGGGGCCGGGGGGCTCGGCTCTTCTGGTGAAGATGCTGGTGCTGCTTGAGGTTCTGGCTCAGGGACGGCTGGTTCATCAATCAGAAAGAGAACAGGATTTAAAGCAATATACCACTCATTTAAATACAGTTTAACCGTGCACAACAGAATAACCGTTAACTATGATTTAAAAACAAAAACCTTTCAGTCAACAGAGTGTCACTTACAGGCATTTGACCTCACGCAAGAACATTTTCATATTCTTATCCTAACATTCTCTTATGTTGTAGCTGATGTTTGTAGCATATGCATAGCTCCTTGCTCACTGTGGTGAATATATCCCGGTTAAGTGTTCCTACCTATTAACTTATTAACAGAGTTGGAGTTTGATCTATAAATATCTACTCAAAAGGAGAAGGGAATCACTCACCCGCTGTTTCAATGGCTTCCACAGCTAAAACAAAACAAAATACAAAACCACATCAGTGAAACTCTTAATTGATCGAAACTAAAAATGCCGTGGCTCTGATAGAAATCTCTTTAGACTTGTAACCTGCTCACCGGGAGGCTCTAACTGGATGAGTGCGGCTGGTTGTTCTGCGGCTTGTTTACTTGGTCGGGATGAAATTTCATCGATACGGTCCTGATATCTTTGGCTGTCTCCCTTGACAGTTAGGTACGCCTGTGAAAACAGAAAAGTGTGAACCACCTGCAACTAATTACTTCTGATTTTCAATACACGTGCTGTGTTGTTATGACGGACTGACTCACATAAACTCCACCGCCGACGCAGGTTGCTGCAACCAGAAGAACGTACAGCTGGTTTTCTCTGCCTCCCCCTGCAGGCCCTGTGGACATGTGAGCTGCAGGTACACATGTTGGTATCCTGCCACTGTTTAACCCTGAACACAAAGACAAATAACAAACATTTGGATTGGTCAAAATTGCACTAATTTCAGTCGAACACCCTTGATGTTGGTCACAAAAGTAATCCAAAGACAGGTCAGTCGCAGCTGCAGTACATCTACACGCCATGCATTACGATACACACACACATGATTAATACACTGAACTGAGACTTGTAGTTTTTTGCTAACATTTCTTATTCTTAGGCTGGAGATGCATTTTGTTTATGTTGATCAGGCTTAGTTGCAGCTATCTGACTGACAATGCCACTTGATCAAATGATATATTCATTGTTCATAACATCTCACTTTGCTATATGGCTAGACGCCAACAACAATGAGGCCACATGTAACAAGCGTGACGCTACATTTCCTTTCTATGGTAACTATAACATGTGTATGAAGGTGACTGCTACATTCCTGGCAGGGATTGTTAAAGAAGAACCAGTTACACTTTCTAAAAGCATGAATTGTTTGTGTAAATGCTGCTGAACATGCCTGCTGACAATGAAAACACGTCTTACTCCAAGATCTTAAATGCAAGCATATTATGCTGATGTCAAAGATAATATTACATCTCTACAAGTCAGCATAAGCTTGACATTCCCCAAAATGAAGTGTGGCACATTTTGCTGCCATGTCTGCTTGTAAATTGGGTAAATGAAAGAAAGGGCGCGCACACAATGCGAGTTGAGTTTTGAGACTTGAATCCACATTATGATCAACCTCTGTCGTGAACTACATTACTGTAATAACTCCCCACCGCTTCCTTAAGTACACCAATCAAAAGTACACTATGCAGAGGGACACAGTTGCACATACTGTACTTTCAATCTCAGGGTCACAGGAGACTGAAAAATCCCCGTGATCCCAAATCTATTCCGGCCTATGTAAGCAAGTCCGACGGGATAGAGACTATGGCGTAACACCATTAAAAACAGCACTGTATCAAAAACATGTGTCAGTGACACCCGTTTATTTCTCATTCACTAACGTTGCTTTCCGTCAATGCTCAGACGAGAGCTACAACCAATGTCGTGCCTTACGGTCCGAGCTGACCTAACGTTAGTTATCGAAACGTCATTGACTTCTCTGCATGTTGCCAGTTCCTAGTTTGCGCAGTTAACGTTAGCTTTGAAACAGCCATTCGAAGGTCATGATACCTATACTGGGCCATTAAAAGACACCCCGCGCAGTTTAACAAACTGTCCTCATTGTGCGATATTATGCTACAAGCAATGCGTGTTTCAATTGAGGCAAGCTAGCAAGAAGACGCAGAGTTACTCTGTCTTACGTAAGTTACTTAACTTACCTGGTCGTCTCACATTCTGCCGGCACACAGTTGAGGAGGATCTAGCTAGTGGTGCAAGCTTTTTCCATACAGTTCTACATTTCAGCATTGTGGCTCGACTCCGCTGTAACGGCTCCCAGTTAACTAGCCGATCTGTCGGACACAAACACTAGCTAGTTACCGTTAATTAAGTCCTACAGCCAGCACGCACTGACAGACGCGTTACGAGCCAAGGCCACACACAGGAGACAGGTCATACGTTTCAGGGGAGTCATGGGTAATTGTAAAGACTCTTTGAATGTGTGAGAGTGATCACCCCTAGAAAACTAAGTAGCACAACGGCATTGGAAGAAAGATGGCGTCGCTGATGATATCAATGACAGTGTTGACCGTGACTTGACGTTTTTTTGTTGTTATTTTTGAGTTATGACGGATCATAGTATTTATTTTCTTATCCTATACGTTGTTAACGCGTGTGTTATTTCAGATTCAAACTCTGTATTAAATGCTGTTACATCGAGTCTCAGCCGCTCAAATCTTTCCTTCAAGACTCTTTGGTAACGGTCATGATCCCAGTTCTTCTTCTTGACATTTCTACAGTTTACATGCAGCCACAATGTACTACTGCTGCCCCCTACAGTACATTTAAGATGCAGTACGTTTTAACTATAGAGACGGAGAATAAAGAACAGGTATGTTTCGGAGAAGATAGAGATAAAACATGAGGTTGTGTAAATACATGATTCATGTAAAACACATGGAAACATAATGAGGATTTACTCAAAATATTGTATCCAAAACACATGAGGTAATAGAAAAATAGAATTGGTTTTACATAGTGTGTACATATTATATATATTAATATTGTTTTCAGTTGGGTCTAACAATCACTTCCACATAAACTTGACTGTTGACTGTTGATAGCCAATCACAAGAGCTGTTATCGTGTTCTTGCAGTTGACTGCCTTTAAAAAAAATGGAGGAAGGCTCCAAGAGCTCAACAGGACCTCTGTTGTCCAAATGAAGTTACTGCAAGCCAACCTCCTCAGTTAGGAAATGAGTCCTTTGCTTTCTTGTACAGTACATGATCAATGTCCACATAATTGGGCTGTTGTTCTTGGTGTGGGCCAGGCCTATTTTTTCCCAATTAAGGGACACCTTAATTCAACAGCATACAATGGCATTGTAACATTGCACTTTCAACTTTGAAGCAAAAGTTTTGGGAAGACCGTTTCCTGATTCATCATGAAAACATCCCCTGACGCAAACCAAAGTCCAAGAAATAGTTTTCTGAATTGTAGGTGTATGAACTTGACTGGCCTACACAGAGCCCCGACCTCAACCCCATCCAACAGTGGGTGAGAGCATATATCTGCACTCTGCATTCTACAATTTTTTGGGGGGGAGCCTTCCCAGAGGAGTGGAGGCTCTTGATGTAAGATCAACAGTCACATATGTGTGGGAGTCCACATACATTTGATCACATTGTGTATCTTGAGACACTTCCTCAGACCTCACTATCATGTAATAAATAATCAACTGTAACCTTTCGGCTGTGCATTTACTTCACCATGTCACAATACTTCTGCCAGAAGTTAACACTCACGCCATCAATGGTAATGGATTCACAGTTATCCATACTGCTGATCTCTGCGAAAAATCATTGCGCTAACTTCCTGGCAAGTGAATCAGCCATCATGGTACTTGTGTTTCCTTGAAGCAACGATCATTTAAGTTTGGCAGTATTACATTTTACAGGCTGCATGAAGTTCCAGTCTTGTTCACACACCACACACTTTGTTTTTACATGTATCAAAGCACTCAATTGCCATCATTAAATGTGTCATACAAAATGAGTTCACAGCAGGTTCCTTGTATCTTGCACACAGTTCACATTTGTAGATCAGCTAACATCTAGAAAGGGTCTTTGCTATTTCATTTTCCCTACAGCCTTGCTGGTGAGAATAAGATCAAAGCATGTTAAACTTGTGCTAAGAGGTGGTGCTTTATCTTTCACTCCATGTTACTCAAATCATTAAAATGTCAGTGAGTATAAATTTATTCTAGGGGTCTGAAACCAAGATCTGTTTATGTTTACTAGGATACTACCAGCGCTTACATTGCAGGACCCATGGGTACTTACGGCAGAGTTTCAGAATGAGGTTTTAAAGGGCCCCGAAGAAGCCATGGTACAAGTAAACTGATAAATATAGTCATTTAGATATGGGCCGGTGCTAGGGATGCTAGGGATGGGATAGGGATGCTCCTTAAGGGAATGCTGTGCTCCTTCATTCCCTGCAGTGTCGCTATGCCCTGCCAGGTCTTTGTGTCTTTGATAAATAAAGTCTTTGGTCTGAGACACAAGTACATATTTTAATGTACGGTATCTATTTCAACAACATCAGTACAAACACTTAACCATTCAGGAAGTTCATTGGAATAATACTTTACAATGCAAAATATACTTTTATTTGAAATAAAAACATCAACACCAGAAATCTCAATAAAAGGGAAAACTTTGTTTTCTTCTTTTTTTTAAAGGAGTTATTATCATTTATTTTTTATTTTCTTCAGTTTAGCTACTGTTCTGTCGCCTCAGACAATGGGAGGAATTGTCTAACTGTCAGACAATCTTTAATTTGTTAATTTATTCATGCATTTATTATGTCGTTTATTCTTTTCAAAATAATCCCCCTTTATTTGAGGTTATATGAAGGAAGGGATTATTGAAAGGAATATTTAACAAATACTGCAGCTTGGATGAAAAATAAAAACAATACTGAATTGGAAAAAAATAAAAAAATAAATAAAAAAAAAAAAAACAAAAAAAA